CACTCGATCGAGCCACCACATTTTGCTTCTTACTTTTCCAAGATACTAGATTGCCACCAAGGAAAACGCAGTACCCTGATGTTGACTTTCTATCCCAAGAGCACCCAGCCCAATCTGCATCAGTATAACCAACAATCTCTGTATTTCCACGATCCTTGTATAAAACACCGTTCCCGGGAGACTTCTTGATGTATCGTAGGATCCTAATGACAGCTTCCCAATGGCTATCACACGGAGAAGCCAAAAATTGACTCACAACGCTAACTGCAAAAGAGATGTCAGGGCGAGTGACGGTTAAGTACAACAATTTTCCAACCAATCTTCGATATCTTCCTGGATTTGAAAAGGGCTTCCCTTGTTCCGGTACAAGCTTAATGTTAGGATCCATGGGAGTATCAATAGGTCTGCAATCACTCATACCTGTTTCCTCTAATATGTCTAAAGCATATTTTCGTTGAGATATACAAATCCCTTGCTTTGACTGGGCAACTTCTATCCCTAAGAAGTATTTTAATTTTCCAAGGTCTTTTGTCTCAAAATGTTGGAAAAGATGTTGCTTTAGCTGGAGTATTCCTTCTGCATCATCTCCTGTGATAACAATATCATCGACATAAACAACAAGATAAACGCTCTTACCATGTCGATGCCGGTAGAATACAGAATGATCCACTTTGCTTTGGACTAACCCAAACTCTTGCAGAACTGTACTAAAACGTCCGAACCAGGCACGTGGAGACTGTTTCAATCCATAAAGAGAACGTTTTAATTTGCAAACCAAATCAGTCTCCCCCCCTTGAGCAACAAAACCCGGAGGTTGCTCCATATACACCTCTTCTTTTAGATCCCCATGTAAAAAGGCATTCTTGATGTCAAGTTGGTATAGAGGCCAATGATGGATGGCAGCAATAGACAGAAAGATTCTGATAGAAGAGATCTTGGCTACGGGTGAGAACGTATCAGTGTAATCAACGCCAAACACTTGAGTATACCCCTTGGCTACAAGGCGAGCTTTGAGTCTATCTATCTGTCCATCAGGCCCAACTTTGACATTATAAACCCAATGACAACCAACGACTGTTTTGCCAGGAGGTAATGGAACCAAGTCCCAAGTTCCCGAGGATTGCAAAGCAACCATTTCATCTACCATAGCTTGCTGCCAACCAGGATGGGAAAGAGCTTCCCTAACCGAATTAGGAACAGAAACAGATGATAAACTGGAGATGAAAGCATTGTAAACAGGGGAAAACCGGTGATAAGAGACAAAATTATATATAGGGTAGGGATTGCGAGTAGACCGGTTACCTACCCGACTAGCAATGGGCGGACTGGAGATTGGAGCAGGACCCGAATCCGAGGGAAGGGACCGCTCAGGAGATGAATCAGCAGGTTCAATGTTTGCAGCAGTAGTGGTTGGTGGTAATTTTGACCGACGATGATAGGTGAACTGGAAAGGAGAAACAGTGTGGGTTTGTGATGGATTGGGAGGTAGGACAACAGGAGATATTGGTATTTCTGTCCCTCCTTCAAATGAGGGAACTGGTAGGACATCAGGAAAAGGATCCACCACCCTTATAGAGTCAGATGAAAAGAACGGAGTGTACTCAAAGAAGGTAACATTTGGTGATACATAGAATCGCTGTGTCTCAGGACAATAACACCTGAACCCTTTTTGAACCCTAGAGTACCCCACAAAAATACATTTCAAGGACTTGGGTGACAGTTTATCACGACCAGGAGTAATATCCCGAACAAAGCAAGTGCAACCAAAAACCCTCAGCGGAAGCTTGTGTAATGACTCTTGAGGAAACAATATGTTATAAGGTATTTTGCCATGTAGAACAGACGATGGCATACGGTTAATAAGGTAACATGAGTGGAGGATAGCATCTCCCCAGAAATAAGAGGGAACCTTATAGTGAAGGAGCATAGTCCGAGCGGTTTCCACTAGATGCCTATTCTTTCGTTCAGACACACCATTCTGTTGTGGAGTATCTGGACAAGAAGACTCATGGAGAATACCTTCAGAGTCAAGGAGGGTAGACAAAGGAGTATTGAAATATTCCCTGGCATTATCACTTCGAAGAACTTTAATAGAGACTCCAAATTGATTCTTGATTTCATTATGAAATTTCTGAAAGATGTTGAATAGATCAGAACGTCGTTGCATTAGGAAAACCCAAGTACAACGCGAAAAGTCATCAATAAAAGTAACAAAATATTTAAAACCTAACACAGAAGTGACACGACAAGGGCCCCAAATATCACTGTGAACTAAGGAAAAAGGGGATGAGGACACTTTATTAACCCGTTCAGGAAAGGAGGTTCTTGAATGTTTCCCAAATTGACAAGATTCACACTCTAGTGAAGACAGCTTTGAGAGACTCGGTTCAAGTTGTTGTAGTTTCTTCAAACTTGGATGACCTAGACGACAATGAGTAAGGGAAGGAGAAATAGTAGCACTACAGACAGCGGAAGAAGGAGTGGATAGACGGTATAACCCTTTTGATTCATACCCCGAGCCAATCGTCTTCCCCGAACGACGGTCCTGTATAACAACCGAATCAGGAGAAAAAGTGACAAGACAATCAAGAGAACGAGTAAGTTGACGAATGGAAATCAAATTAAAAGGACAAGTAGGTATATGCAAGACTGATGACAAGGGTAAATCAGGAAGAGGTCTTGCTTTACCAACTCCTTTAGCAGAACATATGGATCCATTACCAAACACAATGGACGGAAGAGACTTAGAGTTTGTGAGATGGGTCAATAAGGAAGAATTACCACATATATGTTCGGAGGCACCTGAATCAAGGACCCAGGGTCCGAGAGGTCCAGATTGAGAAACAAGGGCAGCATGAGTCTCTCCCGTATGAGCCAAAGGAGTGAAAACAGTAGCTTGGGCATTAGCCTTAAACCGTGCAAACTCTTCATATTCTGCAAGAGAGACATTTTTAGAACCTGATTCTTCTAGTTTGAGTTGAGCCACATTTGTAGGAGCGTCAACGGTTTCCCATGCAGTTTCCAACATCGGTCCCGTGTGTGTCCAGATCTATTGCAGTAATCACAGTATCTAGCATTTTTCTGCCCACTACGGTCTTTATTCCGATTGCCCAGATTATTACCACGACTTCCTTGAATCACAAGAGCAGATTGTTCTGTAGTGGATGCAGAAGTTTCACCAGGAAAAGAGGCCACTTGAAGAAGGCGTTTGAACAACTCTTGGACCCCTGGCACACCTTTATCCCCAAGAATCTGGTTTCGAGTATTCTCAAACTCGGGGCCTAATTTAGTCAAAACCAGAACAACAAAAAACTTTTCACGTTGGGCAATCTGTTCATCAGGTGTCCCTCCAACGGGTAAAAGCTTATTAAACTCAGTTAATAAACTTTGAGTTTTCCCAAGAAAGGCTTCCATACTCATACCATCCTTCTTTAAATTAACCAAATTATCAACAACTGTGTAACATTGTGAAATATCATTAGTGTACAAGGATTTGGCTTGACTCCATACCTCAACACATGTTTTAAAAACTCTAAATAGTTGAATTAACTCAGGTGAAAGGGATTGCCATAGAAGACTACAAAGTTGTGCATCCACCCTTTTCCAAATTGCCTTCTCATTTTCTGGTACCTCAGTTTCTACCCCATGTTCCAAGTGGTCAATAACACCCTGGCCCATAAACCACATTTCAACGGCATCCGACCAAGAGTGGTAGTTTTGTGACCCACATAATTTTTCAGAGGTAATAACTGGATTTCCAGATAAATTAGGCACAAACACTGAGCGAGAAATAGCATTTTCAACATTGGTAGAAGTAGCATTTTCAACATTGGTAGAAGTTTCCTTGGTTCCAGTTGAAGACATGGTTGATAAAAAGGAAGAATATTACCAGGAAAGCCAGAGGAGGGTCGAAAATGAAACTGGAAAATATCGCCGGAAAATATCGCCGGAGGAGGTCTCACGCGCCGGCGCGTGGAGGCGCGTGGCGGCGGAAGGCTGCGCGTGAGGTGGCGCGTGAGGGCGCGTGCGGCGGCGGTTTGAGACGGGACTTCGACGGCCGGGGTCGCCTGCACTTCCTGACCGGCGGTGGTTCTTCGGAATTTTATGAAAACTTGCGATGAGGAGTTTTCGAAGAAGAAGCGTAGACAGACCCTGCACTGCTACTGTTCATCCTCGAAATGCTCGGAAATAAAAAGGGGTTCAGGCCAATGGTGGCTCTGATACCATGTTGAAGGAGTTTGGAGAATAAAGTATTGTCTTGTTATTTACACTCTGTCTACAAGCAACTACACAGCACCATATATATAGGTAGAAGATGGAATACTAATAGGGCCCTAGGGATACTAACAGACATAGAAACTGAACAGTCATAGGAAATAATAAAAGCATAATAATGAGTCTTAATGAGTCTCAACAAGTTTTAACAATGATTTTTAAGTATTCTTTTAAGTTTTAAAATGATTTTCAAGTATTCTTTTACATTATTTTCTAGTGTGCTCTTTAGTTTTAAAAATGATTTTCAAATGTGCTTTTTAGTTTTAAAAATGATTTTCAAGTGTGCTCTCATTTAGAAATGATTTTTAAATATTCTTTTTTGTTTTAGAAATGATTTTTAAGTGTGTTCTTTAGTTAAAATATGATTTTTAAGTTTTTATTTTTATTTTTAAAAATGATTTTCAAGTGTGTTGTTTAGTGTTAAAAATGATTGTCTAAGTGTTTTTTAGTTTTAAAAATGATTTTCAATTGCTATTTAATTTTAAAAATGATTTTCAAGTGTTCTTTAGTTTAAAAATGATTTTAAAGTGTGCTCTTCACTTTCAAAATTATTTTTAAAGTGTGCTCTTTTATTTAAAAATGGATTTCAGGTGTTCTTTAGTTTTAAAAATGATTTTCAATTTTAAAAAAGGATACACCAGATTATGTGCCTAAAGTTGTTGACATTCTTGCTCAATTCTGTAAAATGATGAACTCCCCTGATGACTCTGGGTGAAAACGTGCAGTCCGATGCTGTACAGAAAGCTCTTATGACATTGTTAAGGCAGATCAAGAGTAAATTTCAGTTTCAAAGTTTATATAAAAATCTCCTTTCCCCCCAACTTCCCTGTCCCCCCACCAAAGGAAATGATCCTGTTATCCACATCTTCCTCCTACAAAGAGTAAGGAAAGGAAACAAAGGAAGGATCAAATATTTTTTTATTTTAATCTAGCATTTTTTTTTTCATTCCTTTTTTTTAGATGATAAGCTTTAATATTCACATAAAAAAATTCTTAGTTTTATGTTGATTTTGTACCTATTGGAAAATAAATTTTTGTTCTTGTTTCATTAATTTTAATTTAGCTGCTCTTATTGACTTTTAATGTACGAGTAATGAGGAAATAGGATTTTGTATATATATACAAGGGGGGGGGGGGGGGGGGGGGGGGTTCATTTCTAGTAGGTGTTCTGCGTTGGTGAGAGTTTGAAGTTGAAGAGAAAGAAGATGTGTGCTATTTCATTACAGTCCAAAAATTAATGAGGAACTATTTGTCTTTGGGAAGTGTCCAAGTGGCTCTGTTGTGGGGAAACTCTGGTGATAAGAGTTCTTCCTGTGGTTTGCTGGGAGGAAATATGGTACTCCTTAATTTGTATCAACCGTGGCTTCCTTGTGTGTCACATGGTGAGAAGTTTGGCAACAACTTCAATTGTTACTCTGCCAACAAGGAATATGGTGCACCATTTTGATAATATGGAGGATCTTAGTTTCCCTTGCTTTGATTTCATTCTTTCTTCTATGATCTCATGTTGTGATGTAACAAATTATACAAGAAAAAATGTCAAGAAGTTGCAAGATACCTAGTATTTATTTGTCTACAACTTATTGGTTGACTTGTGACTTTTCTTTTCTTGGGTAGCCCAATTGTATTCTATATTTCTATTTATATGCTTGTGTTGCAGCCTGTTTAACTGCTTGTTCAAGCATATCGGCGGTAACACCGAGGACCAAAGTGCGGAGAAATTAAGTACATGGGAGAGCATTCGTGAAAGAAAAGGTGAATCAAACATTTCTATTGTCTGTTCAAAGCACAAGGAATCAATAAAATTTTTATTATTATACAAGGTTGTCAGAATTCTGTAATTAAACTCAAATGCATACTTCTTTTTTTTTTTTTTTTTCTAAACATAAACTCAATGTATACTATTGATGAAAGGTCATTGAAAGAGCTTATAAGAAGCTTGCACTTGATGCTTTGGTTATCCAACAAGGGAAGACTGGCAGAGCAAAAAGCTAAGGTTTCTCATGGTTTTGCCATTTTTGATATATAGTTGTAATCTGTAATAACTAATTTAGATCCTTGGCTTGACTCACTGCAGCTGTAAATAAGGATGAGCAACTGCAGCTGGTGAGGAGATGGTTTTTTGTTCCAACGATAGCAGTATAGCACAATCACAGATGAAGATATAGATATGATCATCTTAAGGTCTCGAGAAGTAAATAATTCTATTTGACCACTGTACATTGCTAACATCAAGAAATGAAATAATCGAGTTGGGCCGCTAAAATAGCTAAAGTAGTTATAAATCCTGTCAATAAAATAAGGCCTACAGAAAGTCCATCTATTCCCAATCTCCAATGGCAATCAAAAAATTGATCCATATAAGTCTCCTCTAATTGGATTAATGAATCGTCCACCTGGAAATGAAAACAAAATGTATAAGTCATTGTAAGGATTCTAAAATACATATACAAAGTGTATGTCATCTAATTACCCTATTTCCTTTATGGGGAAGAAAGAAAACGATGGAACCTGCAAATATTGGAAAAACGACAATTATTGTTAGCATAATCACAGATGAAGATATAAATAGGACCATTGCTAAAGGAGAAGAGGCTACGAACCAAGATGAAGAAGTTTACAGAAGATGCTATCAAGTTTAAGATGGATACTTGTATGCTTTTTTTCAATTTCCCCCTCTCTGGGCTAATTTAGATCTCATTTTATGTAGCTGAGGATATCTATGACTTTGATGATGAAAAGGTTAGTTGGTCTATGATTTTTTGTTTTTTGGGGTTCTTTCTCTGATGCTATTTTACTTGTTGCTGATGGAGGATGAAAATAAGATTTATTTTAAGAAGATTGCCAGTGAAAACTGGATTGAGCCATCAAGAAGAGAGCGAAATCGCAAATATGTTAATTGCTGACTAATAAAATTATTTTTTTGTTGAATGATTTTTGACAATTCTCTTTGTCAATAGTTACTCAGAGTCGGAATATTTCAAGCAAACAATGCGAGAGAATGGTCTTGAATATCTAAATTATCATAACAACGAGAAAGTTTACAATAAGTGTGGGCATTGATATCTTTTGTACTAGATTCATCATACATGTTTTTAAAGTTGTAACATCAAAATATATATTGCCATTTTGAATGGGATTCCAGTAGTTTAAGCTAATCCAATCAAACAAAGACATTAGCACGCCAATACATCAGCAAGCTAGCTCATTGGTTGTTTGCGCTCCGCATAGATTTTATTGAAAACAGCTGACGATGTTCATGAATCAATATATTAGTATATCTATATATAAAAGTCAAACAAATGCGATTCGCGTGCTAAAATATATCATTGTTTAATCGTTTTGTTCGCATATTTTAAGGAAACCAAAACCATTTATAATCCAGTAACCCACAGACCACAGTGCAGCTAATTCAAACCAAGAGCCATGGAACTCCTCCAAGACCTTTACCCTTCCCTTGTTTTCCTAGCAATTGCTTTGTGTGTAGTTATTCATTATCTTCTTGCACAAAATAACAAGTCCGGGAAGCAAAAATTGCCGCCGGAAGCTGCTGCGGGGTGGCCAATTCTAGGCCACCTTCACATCTTCAGCGGCTCTAAGCTTGCTCATGTTGAACTGGGAAACATGGCTGATATGTATGGACCGGCATTTACTATCCGGATTGGTGTGCACAGGGCGTTGGTGGTTAGCGACTGGAAATTGATCAAAGAACTCTCCACCGTCCACGACGTTCACGTTTCTTCTCGCCCTAAGTTTCTCGCCGCCGAACACTTGGGCTACAATTACATAATGTTTGCTTTCACTCCTTATGGACAATACTGGCGCGACATTCGCAAATTTGTATCCACAGAACTACTCTCCAACCGGCGACTTGAGCAGCGGAAGCACATAAGAGTGTCCGAGATCGATACCTCTATAAAGGAGCTGTATAAGCTTTGGACTGAAAATAAAAATTCCGACGACCCTTCAGGTGGCCGTGTTTTGGTGGAAATGAAGAAGTGGCTTGGGGACATAACAGTGAACGTGTTCCTTCAAATGATGGCCGGAAAACGGTACTTCCGTACGGCAACAGCTAGTGATGAAAGAGATGGCCGGCGTTGCAAAAAAGCATTGAGAGATTTTTTTTACTATCTTGGAGTTTTTGCACCGGCGGATGCTATGCCTTTTCTGAGATGGTTAGATATAGGAGGGTATGAGAAAACCAGGAAAGAAGTTGCTAAAGAAATGGACTCTCTTGTTGATGATTGGTTACAAGAGCACCGCCGGAAGAAAGCGGCGGCCGGGGGTGACGGATCTAACGGCGGCGAGGAAGATTTCATAGATGCGATGCTTTCACGATTAGAAGAGATTGATCGCAATGGTTACGATGCTGATAGCGTCATCAAGTCTACTTGCATGGTATGTGTGCTCCTGGTTTAATTTATCAAACAATTATAATGTGCTTTAACTATTTAGAATTTGTACTATATATCAGAATTTGATTGCTGGAGGAGCAGATACGGTAACAGTCATGCTAACATGGGCTCTATCTTTGATGATGAACAATCCCCATGTGTTGAAGATGGCTCAAGAAGAACTAGATAGGGTAGTTGGCCGGAAAAGAAAGGTAAACGAATCAGACATCAATAATTTGACTTATTTTCAAGCAATTATTAAAGAAACATTTAGGATGTACCCGGGGGCTCCACTAGGAGGTCCAAGAATGTTCACGGAAGATTGCAACGTATCTGGTTTTCATGTTCCAAAAGGCACTTGGTTGTTCTTTAATGTGTGGAAACTCCAACGAGATCCACAAGTTTGGTCTAGCCCTCAGGAATTCAAACCTGAGAGGTTTATTAATAGTCACAAAGACCTTGATGTTTTGGGGCAAGATTTTGAGTTGATCCCATTTGGTGCGGGTAGAAGAATATGTCCGGGAACAGCTTTTGGTCTTCAAATGTTGCACTTGGTGTTGGCTAGTTTGTTACAATCCTTTGAGCTCTCGAATGTCTCTAATGAAGGAATTGATATGACTGAGACAGCTGGACTAACCAACCTTAAAGTCACACCACTTGAAATTCTCATAGCTCCCCGCCTCCCCCATCATCTTTATTAGCCAACAGCCCAATTATATGTATGTGTATGTGTGCTATGTATCTACATATATATGTATAATACCATACTATGTAAGATATGCATGCATGGGTCACTGCCAGAAATATATATATAGTTTGAAGCCAGTGGACAACATATGAATTTAAATATATAATGTTCTTCCCTGGGCATGGTGATTTATCAGCTCTTATTTGGCATGTATGAAAGGTAACTTTCAATTCAACTAGTATATAAAATTAATAATGGTTGATGGTTGCCTATATTTGATTTACATAAAATATAAAACGGACTTGTTATTCAGACAGCATTCCGTTTTTGTAGACATTTTCTCGAATAGATAATTCTCAAACTACTATAAGTTCTCTTATTTTCGACCAACCAAATTTGCAAAATAATCAAACAATAAGAAATCTAACGAAACTGAAAGATATATGAAATGCATAAATTATCATGATAAGATTTCAAAAATAAAATAACATCATAAAAAAAATAATAAATAATAAATAGGGTAAGTAAAAGAGAACCTCAGGAGGTGCATCAGGGGGACTCTGATCTGAAGACATCAGCACTCGACAAGAATGGCGACATTCTGCCTATGTTGGATATAATAATAATAATAATATAATAATAATAATAATAATAATTTCTGTAACATCAAAATATATTGCGATTTTGACTGGGATTCCAAAAATCTAAGCAAATCTAACCAAATAAAAGACACTATCAGTAAATCAGTAAATCAGCAAGCTCATAGGTTGTTTGCTCTCTACAAAGATTTTATTAAAGCAGTTGATAATGTCATAAATCATTAAACAAGTATACGAAAGGGCAGCTAAAAAAACGTGATTTGAGTTCTAAAATAGATATATTGTTTTTTGGTTTGGTTCATATTCTAAGAAAACCAAATCATCATTATATAATCTCACCTATCCATTAACTCGCCGTGCAGCTAATCTAAACAACACCCATGGAACTCCAACACCTTTATCCTTCCATTATTGCCTTAGCAATTGCTCTGTGTGTATTTATTCATTATTATGTGGGACGCAATACCAACTCCGGGACGACACGTAGGTTACCGCAGGAAGCGGGTGGCGCGTGGCCAATTCTCGGCCACCTTCACATCTTCAGTGGCTCTAAGCTTCCGCATGTTGCCCTGGGAAACATGGCAGACAAGTATGGACCAGCTTTCACTATCCGGATCGGCGTGCACAGAGTGTTGGTGGTCAGTGACTGGAAATTGGCCAAACAGCTCTCCACTGTCCACGACGTTAACATTTCAACTCGTCCCAGGTTTCGAGCCGCCAAACATTTGGGCTATGACTATATAATGTTTGCTTTCTCCCCCTACGGTCCTTACTGGCGCCAAATGCGAAAACTTACTTCCACCGAGCTACTCTCCGCCCGGCGGCTTGAGCAGCTGAAGCACATAAGAGTGGCCGAGATCGAGACCTCTCTAAAGGAGCTCTATAAGCTTTGGACGGAAAACAAAAATTCCGACGACCATTCTGGTCGTGTTTTGGTGGAAATGAAGAAGTGGTTCGGGGACCTAACTTTCAACGTCTTCCTTCAAATGGTGGTCGGAAAACGATATTTCGGTACGACGGCGGTTGGTGATGAAAAACAGGGGCGGCGTTGCCAGAAGGCATTGAGGGAATTTTTCAACTTTCTTGGGGTTTTTGTACCCGCCGATGCCCTGCCTTTTTTGAGACGGTTAGATATCGGAGGGTATGAGAAAGCCATGAAAGAAGTTGCTAAAGAAATGGACTCTCTTGTTGAGGAATGGTTACAAGAACATCGTCTGAAGAAAGAGACAACTGGCAACGAGGAAGAAGATTTCATTGATGCGATTCTTTCGCGAATAGAATGGATTGATCTTAATGGTTTTAGTGCTGATAGTGTTATCAAATCAACCTGCATGGTATGTTCTTGGTTGATCAAATTATCATTCCTAAATTTAAGTCCTACAAGAATGATTAAATATGTAAATTTTGTATATTTATCAGACTTTGATGGCTGGGGGTGCAGACACCGTCACGACCATGCTAACGTGGGCTCTATCTTTGATGATGAACCATCCGCATGTCTTGAAGATGGCTCAGGAGGAACTAGATATGGTAGTTGGCAAGGAAAGAAGGGTAAATGAATCAGATATTAAGAATTTGATGTATCTTCAAGCTGTTGTTAAAGAAACATTAAGGTTGTATCCGGCGGGTCCTCTTGGAGCTCCAAGAATCTTCACCAAAGATTGCACCCTATCAGAATTTCATATTCCAAATGATACTTGGCTATTCATTAATATCTGGAAAATCCAACGAGATCCACAGATTTGGTCTAGCCCGGATGAATTCAAACCTGAGAGGTTTACTAATAGTCATAAAGACCATGATGTTTTGGGGCAAGACTTTGAGTTGATCCCGTTTGGTGTGGGTAGAAGAATATGCCCGGGAACAAATTTTGGTCTTCAAATGTTGCACTTGGTGTTGGCTAATTTGTTACATTCATTTGAACTTTCAAATGTCTCTAATAGAGGAATTGATATGACAGAGAAAACTGGACTAACCAACGTCAAAGCCACACCACTTGAAATTTTCATTGCTCCCCGCCTAACTGCTTATCTTTATTAGTCACCACAGATTAATATGTATTTGTAATTGTGTACGAATCTATGTATAATACCATGCAGTGTATTTATGTATACCATGTATTTCATGGACGTGATGATTTCCTTAATAGAAGGGATAGATCTTAACGGTTACAATGCTGACACGGTCACGAAATCTGCTTGCATAGTATGTGCTCTGTTTACATATTTACGTTCTGTATACTTAGAAAATGGCACTTTCAACTTTCAAATTTACAGTAATTTTTTTTTTTTTACTAACCATATATGATCTTAATTTTGTTTATTAGAATATGGTTGCTGGAGGAGCAGATACGATCAAAGTGATGCTAATATGGACTCTGTCATTGATAATGAACCACCCTAATGTGCTGAAGAAGGTCCAAGAAGAATTAGACATGGTAATTGGCATGGAAAGGAAAGAAGGATAAACGAATCAATATAAATAGTCTAATTTATCTTCAAGTCATCGTCAAAGAAACATTAAGGTTGTATCTTACCAGGACCGTTGGAGGCTATAGAATATTCACTAAAGATTGCACAATATCTGATTTTCATGTTCCAAAAGGCACTTGGTTATTAGTTAACTTGTGGAAACTCCATCGAGATCCATAAGTTTGGTCTGATCCTCTTGAGTTCAAACTCCCATAACAATATTAATGTTAAAGGGCAAGACTTCGAGCTGATCCCCCAACATTAAAATCACACCACTCAAAATTCTCCTAGCTCCCCATCTTCCATCTATCTACTCTTTATTAATCATCCATGCACACATTATGCAGTATGTACGTGTATCTTTATGTTTTGTATCCATTAAGCATAGTCTCTAATCAATTACGTAATTATTATATCAAATTCCACTTTAATTAGTATTATGATTATGATTATGATTCTTGTCCAAGAAAATATTAGTAACGGAAAAGTGGTTGCCATGAGTTTAATTTACAAACATCATAGTACAAACATTCCATCATCGTCATTTAATAAGGTGATCATCATCTGATCAAATCAAAAATGAAAGTCATGGATCAAACTACAACATTAGACTAGTGTGTTGGTCTGATCAATACTTGGCGGATGGAATGGAGTCCCAGGCTGCGTCTTGGATGACGGGCGGCGGCGGATAATCCAGCGACATCTCCGAAACGCTCCACACCTTCACTGATTTGTCGAGGCTTCCACTGTAAACGACCCACTTTTGGTCGGACTCCGTCGACTCTTTGTCTTCTTCGACGGCCAAGCATTTTACCGGTCCGTTATGGCCGGTCAAGATGGAGAGGCACGTGTGGATCGACCCGTCTCTCCTCCACACACAAATCGTCTTGTCGGCCGATCCGCTGAACACGGTGTTGCCGGCGGCGACGAGGCAGAGGACGGCCAATTTGTGGCCTTTGAGGACTCCACCGTGGGAAAACTGCTTCTCCCGTTCCCAGAAATTCACCACCCCGTCCGACGACCCGCAGTACAGGACCGACCCGGATTTGGTGACGGCTAACGCCGTCACGGCGCACTCCTGGCTCAGAAGCGTCTGCACGAACACGTGCTTTACGCCCTTGCCGGACGACTCTCGCTTCCACACCTTCACGCTCCCGTCGGCGGACCCGGTGTAGACCATGCCGTCGACGCTTGCCACGACGGAGTTCACGGCGTCGTCGTGAGCCTTGACGGATTCAAGGCATTTCGAGTTACTGGCCTTCCACACCTTAAAAGTCCTGTCCCACGAAGCAGAGTATAAAAGCTCTTCCTTCGGGTCCATGCTCAGGCAAGAAATAGCGTCGCAGTGCTTGATCCACAAAGCTGTCCGGTTCCGTTTCACCTCCACGTAGTTGCTGGGCTTAATCGAAGCCTTAAAAATGTCGAAAAACGTCGGAAAAGTCCCGGCGCGTTTATGAACAGACGGGTTCTTAGGATTAACCTTCCAAACCCGAACTTTTCCGTCCTGGTGGCCGGTGAAAATCTTTTCTCCGGAGATTATAATAGCCTTCACGAGACCACTGTTAGACTTAAACGCCCCGAATTCCTTCATCTCCTTCCAAACACGTATATTCTTGCTGTCGGAGCCGGTGTAGAGAATCCCATCCCTAGCCGCCAGAGAATATATGTGGCCTTCTTCCCGGACGAGAGAACATATGAGGCCGTTCTGGGGGAGCTTCTGGACACCGCCATTAACGTTGCCCTCGTCCCACGGACCGTTTTCGAACGGGGTGCATTGGTTCCACGGTGACATCATCATCGGAGACCCCTCGCCGCTGAGACGGTTGGGTTCGAAGCCATTGTAGCTGCTGTTTCTGACGTTGAAGTCCTCGTCGGTGGAAGAAGAAGAGCCGGTGGTATTGGAATGAGCCATGTCGCCTGTAGCCGTCTCTGCAAACAAAGCCGGCTTTGTGTATTCTTCTTCTTCCACGATCATTCGAATTCCCAAACTCATAGGTACAAGGCCGAGCTTATGAAATGAGAGGCAAGAGATTAATGGCCGAAGAAATTGTTGCGGGAAGAAGATGAAGCGAAAGGAAAGGAAAGGCGTGCAGAGAAGGAGAAGAAGAGTGAATGAGAGAGTTTATAGGCGAATACAAAAATGGACCCGATGATTATACCTATAGGCGGGAGGGCGATGCCAAATGACACGTGTAAGACTTAGGAAATACCCCAATATGCAACCTATATACTAAATAAATTCTTTTTGTGCATCCAAATCCAAATAACTTTGCCCCGGAAGGGTGACCCAAACAAAACGGAACTTTTTGCTAATGTATTAATAAATACATAAATAATGTCACAAATAATATTTAATAAGTAATTATTCATAGTTATTTTTATTATTAACTATATAAATACAAATGTCCATAACTAAACTACTGATTTAGACCTTGTGGTTTGCAGCATGGAATGACTCTTTCAAATAGAAAGTCATAGGTTCGAGCTTCAAAATACTAAAAAGTAAATTAGCAAACAAAATGTTTTGAGGTTTTTTTTTTTTTTTTTTTACCTAATAGGGTGTGTCGATCTAGTGGACTTTTCGATCTTTGATCACTCTGATAGTCTGATGGGGCTAACTAATAAGATGTTAAATTGAGCTAATCAGGTTAGGCCAATTACTAATTTTCCATTCCAAAGAATCAAACTCCAAAACTAATAAGATGTTAAATTGAGCTAATCAGGTTAGGCCAATTACTAATTTTCCATTCCAAAGAATCAAACTCCAAAATATAGTAAACATGTCAAAGACGCTGTAGTTGAGTGACATAGTTGTGACTTTTTTAAATAGGATATCATAGGTTCAAATCCCAAAGAGAGCATTTACTTTTTGTGCTTCAGTAAGTTGAAAACGTATGTATGGACAGATCCTACAATATAACAAAATCAGTAGTACCCAAAAAAAAAAAAAAAATACTAAACATCAAGTTTACATTAAATTGTTCCAAAACACTAATCTAGTGTGGTTTCCTAGCTAGTTTGAAAAAGGAGATCCGTATTAAATAGAAAACGGGTCAAAGTGCATCCATTAATTCTTGCAGCCTCACCATGCATGCAAAAACAATGGAACATTAATTCGATGCAGCCCATGGAAAATGATGTAAGTAGTGTTCACTGTTGCTAATTTGTTATGGCCAAAAAATGCAAGTGGCATGAAGTTTACATATATGGCTGCTCTCTTTGGCCGGCTGCTACATACAAAACTCTAAGAAAATAAAATATTTTTAAAAATGCATCATCTTTAATGTTTCCCTTTGATGGATATATTTAGAGTTGTTTTAAACCTACGAAACTTGGACATACAGTTCCTTCTTCCCCATCACAAAGGGAAACTACCCATACCTCACAAAATATTAAAACCAAGAATTTATCTTCTTGAGCAATTTTTAAGGTAGTGTACATGCCAAATTTGTTATATATTTTATATTTTGTACATCACACATAAATAACGACATTTGAATACTTCCTTAGCCAAGTTATATGGTTTTTAAGTAGTTGCATTTCTCAGACTATGCCATCTTATTCACACGTACCCCATGAGTAATAATCAGTTTTTTTAGCCTTCAACTCATTCAATACAAGTTGTAAGATAAAAGCATATACTCTTCAACTCAAAATATATACTCCATAGTATTTTTTTTTATATATATAACAATTTACTTTGATTATTTAATTTACAAAAAAAATTCATAGTCAGTACTCCAATAGCACGCAGTCGATTAACTTAGTTGGAACTGTCCCTACCCAACAATTTACTTGAACAAATATAATGATGAGTCTGAGGCTCCTTGTTCGTAGTAAGCAAAAGTCTAATATCGGTTGATAAGTTGAAGGGAAAATGACACTTTTTCCCCCTTAAGTTAGATACATATATCACTTTTTCCCCCCTGAATTATTCAGGTAAGCACATTAGCCCCTCAATTTTTCTAAAAGTGGCAGTTTTCCCTCTGATATATTAAATTGACATTTCTACTCTTAAAGTAAACATTCTATTTATTTTTCTTCTCCAACAAATTATTTTGTATACGTAGGGATGACCACGGTTCGGTTCGAACTGAACCGGACACTATAGAAATCGAATTAAAAGTTTCCGGTTATGATTCAGATCCAGAACCCAATATTTGGATTTCAGTTTATTAAAATTATGAATCGAAAAAACTGGATCGTGAACCGGCGGTTCTGGGTCCATTTCGCGATTTTGAACCGTCTTTATTTTAAAATAGTCTAAATTCAACAATAAATGTATTTTATTTTTTTTCAGTTTGAAACATGAACCGGCCGTTCCGGTTCGCGATTTTAATAAACTCTAAATTTTGGGTTTCGATTCTAAATTGTAATTAGAATATTTGGGTTTGGTTGCTATAGTGTCGGTTTGGATTGAACCAAATTGTGGTAATAATTTGTTAGAGAAGAAAAATAAATAAATATTTATTTTAAGGATAAATATGTCCATTTAACATTTCAGGATTAAAATAGCTACTTAAATAATTTAGGAAAAAAAGTGTTATAAGTATATAATTCAGGAGAAAAAGTGCTATTTTCCTAAGTTGAATGACTATGATTTACTAATAACAAATTGAAGAGCGTGATTAGTGAGGCGATTAAAGTTTTTGTCCATTTTCCAAAAATTATCATCTGGATGTGACCACACCCATGAGTTGCATTGGCTCATTATGGTTAAATCAAGTTTCCTAGGACATGCATTTGAGCCGCCAGGTTCAACGGTCCGTTGAACCGTCGAATATCTCAACGCACAATTCCCGAGTGTCTCCGTAGTATGAACTCAACAAAAAAAAAAAAAAAAAAAAAATGACAATTATCTTATTTAGAAGTAAATATTTTTTCACATTTTTTAATTTCATTAGATGAAGAAAATTAAAGGGAAAAAATAATAATAATAACTGTGCTATATATACTTTTTATTTTAAATTAATTATAATATATATGTGACATTAATAGAAAGTATAAAATAAAAATAAAAGAGTACGTCAAATAATTACTAGAGATCGTAACAAGACAATTCAGTACTGAACTAGTCCTAAACCAATTAATTAGTTCAAGGTAGAAAAGTATGAGTAATACTATCCGGGCGGACTCGTTGGGTCTGTCAAAAGTCAAAACACATCCCGCCCTTATTGCGGGCTAGGGTGGGCCAAACCGGCAAGTTTAGTTTATTTTGGCAGCTTTAGATATGAGTTTGAAAAATATCTCAAGTTGGCGGGATTGAGAGCACTATGTTGATCTGAAGACGTGTCTTACTTCTCCATTAAGAACTCTTACCAAATAATTCATATTTTACAAGCGAAGTTAAGTTAAATCAGTCAATGTATATATAAAATAAGATTCGTGATATGAGAATATGATATTCGACACCTTACTTTATATTTTTAAAAGGAGTTAATAGTAGGGGTGGCAGCTAGCCTTCCCAATCCTACAACGCCACGTTTGGACCTATAGAAATGATGATGCCATTAAAGCAAAATCGTAGCAGAGATCTGAATTGGGGCAATGGAGCTGTAAGAGGAAACTGATTAATTGAATTGGTGAGGTATCGGATCCTCACTGCCATGTTTGTTAGTTTCGAGTAGAGTAGAAGGTCACGCTGGTTTCATGATTGCGACCATTTCTTTACCGGACAACCCTCCTTTGTTGACTAATATAGGAAAACAAACAATGCCCTACATACTAAAAATGTGGTAAACCCTAGCTAGTTAGCCACCTCAAATTATGCGCTATGTGTCCCTATAAAACATTGTTTATGTGGAAACTGTTTACTGATCTTTTCGATTTGAAATGGACAATTATGAACAAATTATGTTGATTTACATCATTGTGGTCCTTTGTCGGTTAGGGTTACTAAGCGAGTTTATCAAATTAAAGTGCATCTTTGGATAGTGCGACGGGTTTCCCATAAATCAAAAAATAAGCATGTATGGGCAGCTCAACTGGTCATAGAGGTGAAAGTTGGAAAGAATGACCAAGGATCGAGTCTCACATGCGGCACTGTAGGAGCAACCTCTCAAAGTGAGGGGGCTCTTTGTGCACAGTAAACACAGGTCTAGCCTCTGTGGTTCATGTTCAGTTGAGTTACCAGTTCAACCTTTTGGAAAGAATAATTAAATCAAAAATGGTAATCCTAGTTGAATTGATCGGACATTTAACTTGATAATCACAAGATCCCAAGTTTAACCCTCATAATAAAATGCATAAAGTTTGTTAAGAACTAAATTAAAATTTTTATAGTAGTGTGATGTTATTAGCTATATACTTTTGTATTATGGCACCCATGTGGTGAAAATTTCCTATTATTTATATGTACGTGGTAGCAACAAATTAGGTGATGCACTAGCTAGCTTGGTTGGTGAGGGTTTTGGGGTGAACATGCATGCATAATTGATCATGAAATGTTGCATGTACTATATAGGTTTGCTTTTTAACATTGGACGGTCGAGGGATGCTGAAGATCGGAAATGACACAAGGAATATCATATCATATAGTATGAAGAATTCTTTCTTTAAAGAAAGAAAATCAGGAGCAGTTATAAAAGGTGCACTGTACAGTGGGTCAATCAGCCCTGGCTTCTGCTTTAAGTGGTTTCCATTTAAGGAAAAAGCACTACTATTGTTTCAAAATCAATTTTCATTTTCTTCTTTATAATAAGTAGGTAAAGTAGTACTAACCCTTAGGCGTCCCATCAATCAAACTTAACTCATACACATGAATATTTTCATTTTCAAGATCAAGCGTTATTGTCAATAATCCTCTTCCTTAGATTTGTCACTCTCAATTATATAAGGTCATATTCGGTAAATGACTGTTAGCTCTTAATTGATTGGGTTAATTAGCGAGTATAACTAGTTAACATTAGCTGATTGTAGAAGGGTGTTTAGTAATTTAGTAAATTAATTGTTAGTTAATAGCTGTTTGATATAATTTCTTTTCTCAAAAAGCTAACTGAAAAATTTGTTTTGATCATCTTTTTGAATTTTAGCATTTTAGAGTTACAAAAAAACCTAATTAACCAAACACTTATATTTATTTTTTAACCAAGTTAAACAAGTAATTAATAATGGTCAAATAAGCCAAAATAGCTGATAGGCTAACTATTTTATCAAACAGGGCCAATATATACGTACCAATTGAGAGGATAAGTGATTACCACTACCTCAAAAACTATAACTATTAGTGAAGACATAATTTTATTTATTTATACTTACAGCGCAACATTTCAATAGCGAGATGCTAGACTTGACCCTCTGAGCCGGTTGAACATTCATCTTCACAAAGTCTAAAAAATGTTTAAATTAATATTATCAATATTATAAAAAAAAAATGTTTAACTTATACATCACTCATTTATATCAATATTATCTCTATCCAATGATTCTAGTCAATTGCGTTACGTTCATACCTTAAAAACTTAAAGTTCAACCACACGAAAATTAAATTTTGTTTGTAAATAAGATTAATAATTGTAACTTTTCTCTTGGTGTTTTAATTACATTAGATTCTTTTTCCTTCCCAAACATTGTACATCTAATGAACGAAACGTGTATGGCTTACTAATAATGGATAGACCCTCTATTTCTTTGACACGAACTTACATATCTCCAAAATGGGCAAGACAACATAAGCAAAAAATCAAAGCTGTACATACAAATATCTTCATCTATGTCCAAGGATGTTGAATTTCCTTGGAAAATACCAAGAAATATTCAGAACTCTGATATTTTGCGTGCAGAAATAAAATGCATAAATTGGGAAAAAGCTTTGTCCCATTGTCCTATTAAGATTCTTCATTGTCATTTTGAAATACTATGATCATTGCAATTTCTTTTTTGTTGCATAAACAAAGATAGAGCATTTCCAATTCTTAGACATTTTCACCTATTAACATCTTCGTGAAATTGTCATATATTTCTGAGAGGATAAGGATAGCCATGGAGCAGGAGTAATAAGGCATGTTTACAATTCTAATACTAAAAATATATAATTTATGACCATGGTCTATGGTATAACAACTAGGAGTAATGCCAGTACGCAAATCTCAAAATGGAAAGACAGTGCAAGTGTGCAACAGTCGAAGGGTTAGCAATCATTATTGCATGGACCATGGCCACACAATTGTGTGGATCATAAATAAAAAGTACATTTTTAATATACTAAAGGTACATTATTTGGAAGGCCTCAGTGGAGGCGTTATTGGTTCTTTGTGTTTCAGTAGGTTGAAAAAGTAAATGAACAAATACTACATTGTAATAGAGCCAGTAGCATTCAAAAAAAAAAGTACATTATTTATGTACATAAGATACATTTTTTGAAAATACATTTTTAATATACAAAAATAATGTACTTTTAATATATTAAAAATGTACTTGATATTCATGCTTTACACAATTGTGTAAATCATGGTCCACACAATAATTTGCCTAAGGGCTAGTTAATGGGCCTTACTGTTTTGAAACCATATACCAAATCCCATCACAGCCCACATAAGGTTTTGAAAGTGATCCATAAAGTATAGTTCTGAATTGTATTGGCAAATTTTACTATAGACCATGCATCAAAATATATCCACACAAATAGTAAACTTAATCAACATTCAATCAATTTTGTACAATATTGAACTACTTTCTCGCATCCAGAAGTTTAAACCTATAACCTTCATATAAGAGAGCAATTTGATACCATTGAATCACAAGATACTTAACAAAGCAACTTGATACCACTGAACCATAAGGTACTTAACACCATGACCATTTAATAAGCATTGAATTGTATCTTATTCTTCAAAATACTTTATTTTTGGGCCGCATAGATCAAATAACAATAATGGGCTTCTTTTATTAGCCCATGGTCAAGTCCATCATAACCTTACGTTGCGATTGGGTGGAGCATGTGTTTCGTACATAAAGCTTACGAATTAAATTCTTGTTAACACTTTCTAAGTTGAGCTTGTTGCATAGAGTTTTTTAGTGTAATTTATCTCTATTGAGTAATTTGTATATCATTACACATGAGTAGAATTTATCTCTGTACATATCATAATGTAATGAGTCACTGTAATGAGTGTGATTCTCTAGTCTCCCATAAACATAATGTCATGGCATCATTGGATTTAATCAATCATCAAATGTAAGCATGCGTGGGATAACACTATGATTCACGACAAATATCGGAATTAAGGATATATGCAACCAAATTAAAACCCATACATATATATCATCAATAATGAATGAACAAAAAAAGTCCCGATATCGTTCCCTTCCTCGGAGGGTTGTCGTCCGTTTGTCTTCATGTCGACGACGTGCCACCCACGTAATGCACTCATATGCAAGTGGTTCCGCGGTTGTTCCATTTATTTATTTCTATTATGAATACAACGTACGGCTATTCATGTTGTCCATTAACCCACTTGCTTAGCCCTATCCATGTCGTTTTCTTGATTGCCTGTTTGATCTGTCATTATATTTTCATGTCCCCCCTTTCTTTTCCATGGAATATCTTGGCGCTTCGTCTAATTAACGGGTACAAAAAAATTATACCGTTGGACTTCATATTTGACGAATTCTTCAATTCCCACCACTTATTGCTCCATTTACTACCAGCCTTAATAGTAGTGTAAAGCAAGTTGGGGCAATTCCTAGTCGAATTGGTTAGACGATTGACTTGATAATCACGTAGGCTTTTTATGCGGGTGGGAACTTACTGGGCAAGGAATTTTAGCTACTTTAAGACCATTATAGTTAAGGCCGTTGTTCGATCACTGAGACTTTGGTGGCCCGCTCTCCTGTCAACATGCCACGACTAAGAAGGCGTCAGTCCCCAATATATGATATTATGATTTTTCGGAGACCTGTGTTTTTGGTGAATAGTTGTCCGAGCTTAGTCATTGCATTAATCCCTTTGTGAGGAGGCACCCCTACTCCTGAAGTTACAATGTTATTTTGCCGAATTTCTAAGAGAGAATTATCTCGTGCCTCGAGATATTTTTTACCTACACACTTGTGTTGGTTTCGGGTATTGGTATATTTTTGTGCGTGATTCCAAGTTTGATAATCTATTGGTCTTTTCGTTTTGAACTGATTAGCTATTAGTAATCTAAGTTGGTTTATCTCTGAACTTTACCCAAAACATACACACCTTCTAGTAAGGGATCATAAATCAAAATATAATGCACTCTTTTTTAATAAGGTAGGTTCGACTTTTCTAATACATGCAGTAAAGTCTGTGTTATTTAACCACCACATAAAATGGCCAATAGCAGTGACCTAATTATGCATTAGATTAGAAACTAAGGAAGTCCATGGCTGCACCTTGCCAATTACGGAGTATATTAGAGTAATTTTTTTACTTAAATATATATATGGCAGGGTCAATTCAAATGTGTACTTAAACACCTACTTTGTACATTTTTGACTTTGATTACCTAGGATATGTGATTATTTTTTTTCAATGAGAAATGAGAGTAGATCTGATTGTTAATTACAAAATAGTAGACAGATAAGATCTTAGTTAACGAAAAAATAATAATAATGATATATATATATATATATATATATATATATATATATATATATATATATATATATATATATTATGCTTTGTATATTATATTCTAAGGAAATGAATGGAATCATCCAACTTTGACCTTTCTAGGCCTAGCTTGCCATATGCCAAGGAATATAATTAGACATTTTTTATTAGTATTTTTTATGACCTGACATTATGGATGACAAAAATTATCCATTATTTGGACATATGTTTATGCATGTGCAGTGGATCATAATACTATGTATATATGTTTCAAGAATTATTTATTGTGGTACCATTTCTCCATTAGTCATTATTATATGTTTCACATTTCATCTGACAAATTGATTGCCAACAACAATTGTTACCTTCCCTCTTGACTTACAACTTGTAAAAGCCATTTGGTCAACGACCAAACAAAACTATAATTAGTTTAACCCATTACCCATCCAGAACTTAGTTAGTATTCATGTAATAAAGTGTACACATATTTAACCAGTTTTGATAATTATGTTTCCTAGTTACACAATAATCAATAACTCATGTGATAAGATTATGGACAAATTTAAATTAGCTCAATGGTTTGAATCTCAGGAATGACTGTGTGGGGATTATGTTTAAAGTGGACAGATCTCTTGTATGCACTATCTGTATTTGGCCTGTTGGCTGAACTATTGAATCACCCGAACACCGGCATTTAATATGAGCTGTCTATTACTCTTCTTGATTTGACTGGTGGAACTGGGGAAATAGTGATTAACTATAGTTTATATGGGGATTTTGGCTCGATCACTAAATTGTTATTCATACTCATCTGACTTCATTTTCATATGCTGAAAAATGATACCAGTTCTGATACTTTTACTTCTTCAATCAGCCATGGTTTTTGGGTCGTCTACATGCAATAGATCTTGCGGTGATGGTTTAAAGCAACTTCCGTTCCCGTTCGGCTTCTCCTCCGGCTGCGAAATCCTTCTGAATTGCACCTCCAACGGAACTATGTCCATCGGCGAATTCCCGGTCTACCAGTTAACTCCCGACACTATAATGATCAATATTCCGGCGAAATGCGGTCGCCGGATTGAAGCCATGAAACCTCTGTTCGGCAAGAACTTTGCCCCCACGTCCAACAACGGGATACTTCTGCAGAATTGTAGCTCGCCGGAGCTGAAGTGTATGATCCCTTCAACCATGATCCAGACGCAGTTCGAGCTCCAGGATTGTGGGAAGGACAATATCAGCTGTTTCTCGGAGCCACATATGACCGGAGGGTTTATTGGATATGAAAATTTGACGGGAACTGGGTGCAAGTCCCTGTTCTCCGCCATCTCCTCCCCCGCCGCCGCCGCTAATACTACGGCGGTTTCTTTAGATATCCAGGTGATTGAGCTGGGGTGGTGGCTTCAAGGGCACTGCCGGTGCTCTAAGAATGCAGACTGCAACACAATGAGGACGCCCGGAGACGGAAAACCGGGTTTCCGGTGCCAGTGCTCTGAAGGGTTCACCGGAGATGGCTATCAGGGTGGCTCCGGCTGCCGGAGAGGTAAATTTTATTATTTTATTCATTTATTTATCACTCCAAAACCAATGATTTAATGAATATTTTATATATTTCCATTCCTGGGTAGTTGGACTTTGACAAGATGGTTTGCTAATAAACGTAGGAGTAGATCATCCAAGTTTGAAAATTGTGAAGAGAGAAACAGACATCATTAATGAATGCTAAAACTAATGGGGGCATCCACTTTGACAAAATGAAAAGATTCAACTATTTTTATGTTCTTCATCTTGGATTCTTGATTCTCATTTCTGTTCATCAATTTAACTTTTTTTGGGTCTCACCAGCTTCAGTCAAAGTCTTCATATATAGTGTGGCAATCATCAACTGTAGAAAGTTTAATGTTTGTTCATACATTTGGAAATTGGAATACTGTTCCTAAGAATAATCGAAAAAACAGAACTTCCCATTCTTGAAATTTGATTCCATTTCTCAAATATTATACAGATGACACAAGATGCAACCCTGCCAAGTACCTGCTAGGCGAATGTGGAGGAAAGACAAGAATTGGTGTTTTAATTGGAGGTAAACCCTTCATTCCTTTAATCATCAGGAGACATAAAAAAAAAAAAAAAAATTGTTTCGCCCAAATAATTAACATTTTGGGATAAGATAATGTATTTTATGAGTTAAAATAATGTTTTTTTTTTTCTTCTGTTTGCAGGTGTGATTGCAGGAGCTGCATTAATGGTTAGTGTAGGGCTAATATGCTGCATAATTCGCAGAAGGTTAGCTATGAAGAACTGGAACAGAAGAAGGCGTGAACTGCGCGAAACTACTGGGATCACCATTCCAGTTTATTCATACAAAGATATCGAGAAAGCCACAAACAATTTCTCAGATAAAAGAAGACTGGGAGATGGAGCTTATGGAACAGTCTATTCTGGGAAGCTACATGATAATGATGAATGGGTAGCAATCAAAAGGATCAGGCACAGAGACACAGACAGCATTGAGCAAGTCACCAATGAAATCAAGCTTCTTTCATCTGTAAACCACCCGAATCTCGTTCGCCTCCTAGGATGTTCCATAGAGAAAGGGGAACAGATTCTCGTCTATGAATTCATGCCTAATGGAACCCTGTCCCAGCATCTGCAACGAGAGAAAGGGAGTGGGCTTCCCTGGCCCGTTCGCCTCGGGATTGTTTCAGAAACATCCCAAGCCATTGCCTATCTCCACAACGCCATGCATCCTCCCATATACCACAGAGACGTTAAGTCCAGTAACATACTTCTCGACTACAACTACAAGTCGAAAGTTGCAGATTTCGGGCTATCAAGATTCGGGTTGATCGAATCATCCCACATCTCAACGGCCCCACAAGGGACCCCGGGCTACCTCGATCCTCAATATCACCAGGACTTTCATCTGTCAGATAAGAGCGATGTGTACAGCTTCGGGGTAGTTCTGGTCGAGATCATAACCGGATTGAAGGCGGTGGACTTCACTAGACCCCAGAATGAAGTCAATCTGGCAGCTCTGGCAGTTGATAAAATAGGAAAGGGGGGTTTACTCGAGATCATCGATCCATTAATCGAGGCAGAGAAAGATGTATGGACACTTTCATCAGTGAACAAAGTTGCAGAAATAGCTTTCAGATGTCTGGCATTTCACAGAGACATGAGGCCTTCAATGATGGAAGTGGCCATAGAACTGGAACAGATGAGGCTGAGTAAATGGGGGATTTCAGAAGATAGCATCATCACAGCATCTTCATCATCATCCTCTCGTTCATCTTCAGATGCCAGTGAGAAGCCTCTGAGCTTTTCAACCATGAAGCCATCTGAGAAAGTGACAGAATCTTCTCCAGTTTCTGTGCAGGATCCATGGCTGAGTGAACAGAGCTCTCCCTCCTCAAATAGCTTCATCAATCAGGCAATGCAGCGATTCAAACGATCGATTTCATTGCCTGTTTAAAGCTGTGAAGAAGATGAGCTTGTGCATGCCAAATTACTTAGCACCATTGTAGTATATATGTTATTAATAGCATAAGAACTGACTCCAATTTTCTCTGTAATTTGAAGGCTTAGCTTCCTGTATGTATATGATTCTTTTCTCCATACAATACATCCTAAAGATTATAGCTTTGCTAGTTTTATGCACACTGGTCTGCTTAAAGATAAGGAAAGGGATGCTTTCTTATAATTTAGAAACCCTATATTATTTTATCCTGTGTGTATATTATTATTATTTTTTGGATACATTAGGTTAAGCTAAATTAATTCTAAGTTTCCAGAACTCCCATATTATTTTAGTGTACTATGCATGTTTTTTTAGCCCTAATTTTTTCAAACAATTAGCAAGAGAACAAAAATTGACAATATAATTTGTATCATATTTGGTCTTGCCGATCAACTATTGCGAGAAGTGCTTCTTTCGAAAGAAGCAATTGTAGTGCTCTTTTCGGAAGAAGCAAATGCAGTACTCCTTTCGGATTTGGCGAAAGTTTACCAATTATATAGTCATGCACATAATTAAAAAATTGTAATAGTCAAAGACCAAATGTAATTAAAGTGTAATTTTCCGAACATGCACAGAGGAAACAAATCATGATAACTCAGCTGAATAGAGAAGCTTGAACCTTTGGTGAGACTCAATTCTAAATCATTATTTTCAAACTTCACTTTTGTGATCAATTGAGCTGTTTATGCTAGTTTTTTTTTTTTTTAATAATTAGAGAAATTAGTAATTGTTATTAAAAATATAGACTAAATTAATTTTACATTGTGACTTTAACCAATAAAAATCACAATGAATTAAGGAAACAAATAAGGTGGGCAAATAAAGATGAAAATTTTTAAGAAAGTCTAACTGGTAAAGTGAACCTTAAGTTCGGACTGGGTAGGGTTTAAGCATTGCGAAACCCCTAAAACCTCGAAAGCGAAAATGGAGCTGCAATGTGCTTGCGCTTTGCTTCACAATCGAGTGTCTGCCCCCAAGTTTTCTCCTTTCCACTTTCACGCCGTGAGTATTTCTACTCTAATTTCTCAATTCTCTGCTTTTTCTGTTTTCTAATGGTTACCTGTCTCAAAATGTTTTGTAAACACTGTTTTGCAGGATTCTCCTTCATCTTCATTAGGGAAACAGTCTAAGAGCCACGTAAGACTGAGGAAGCAAACCCCTCTGCTCCGGTATGAGTTGAAATGTATGTTCTCTGGCTTCCTTTGCCACTTTGGTTTAGTATAAATGCTCAAAGCTAAAGACTTTTTTTTTTTGGTTTATTGATTTCTTATCTGATTTACAGTGAATTCTTGGCCAAGGAATGGGGCAATAGTATGCCTGTCTAACTCAAGCTCATCTGTGAAGTTGAGTTCCTCTGAAACAGAAAATAGAAGTGTGGCTGCTAATGGCATTAGTGGGTGGGAACCATTTCAGGGTAAAACAGGTTGTGTTTCTTTTGCTGGGCTGACTCACCAATTGGTGGAAGAAAGAAAATTGGAGTCTGCTCCTTCTGGGGAAGAAGCTCAATCTTTTCTGTGGGTTGTTGCCCCTGTTGCACTAATCTCGTCGTTTTTGCTTCCCCCATTTCTTGTTTATTTTGCTGTTGATGGCATCAAGAATGAGGTTTTCTCAGGTAGTGTGAATGTGTGATAAGCAGTACCCATTAGTTACAGCAATCTTCATTTCTTTGCTGACGTTTGGTAGTTTTATTTCATATTTACCGCCTTTTTTATGCAGCATGAGAATTGACAAGTAACATTATATTTCATGTCACCTTAACAAGGGCAGTCCTTTATAGTTGGTTACTGAGTTCAGTGTTTGATGTTTATGCAGAAATTTTGGCTTCATTGATCTCAGACGTTATGTTCTACATCGGATTAGGGGTATTTCTTTCTGTAACTGACCAAGTTCAGAAGCCATATCTGGAGTTTAGTGCAAAGAGGTGGAGCCTGATAACTGGCCTTCCAGGTTATCTACCTTCGGCCTTCGTTGTAATGGGCATTAAGATAGCTCTCCCGCTTATTGTGCTTCTTGTCACCTGGCCGGTGCTTGGTACAACAGCCTTGGTTGGAATAACGCCTTTCTTAGTTGGTTGTCTTGTTCAGTATGCATTCGAGAGGTATCTTGGACAACATAAATCGTCTTGTTGGCCTCTAGTCCCAATTATTTTCGAGGTATTTTTTCTCTCAAACTAATCTAGATTCAGTTGCTTTCTTTCGGAAGTAAAAGCACAGAGAACAACACATTCTGGTAATGCATGCAGGTTTATAGGCTCTACCAGTTGAGCAGAGGCATGAGCTTTGCTCAGGATTTAGTGTTAGCCACGAGAACGCTTCCTAATGTGACAGATGAGTTCATTCAAAGAACTGCAGCATTGTTTTCGCAGATAATGAGTTTCCAAGTCTTAGGTGTGGTTTGCCTTTGGTCTTTGTTAACCTTTCTTCAAAGACTCTTTCCTTCTAGGCCTGTTGCTGAGAACTATTAGCATTTGCAGAAGATGCAGTTTCCTTTTTGTGTCTTTTGCTGAAAAAGGATTTTTCTGATTCAAGTATTTGACCCTATTTTTCATAGTAAAAGCATTTTTAACAGATGATGTTTGTCTCCAATTTCAGAATAACATAACACAGTAAGATAACAAAGATTCAAGAACACTTCAAAATCAAGAACTAACAATCTGAAAATAGTTAATCTTTCAAATAACTGTATTGAGTATTTGAGTTATTTATAGTAAAGATCAACTTGGAAAAGTTCGCAAAACTCGTTGAGTAGTGATTTGTAAGCAATATCCATTAGTTGAGAATCATCAATTTTATTGCATGAATTGGAAGAAACTCCACTCTGCAGCTCCTTTATGCTTCCAACTCGATGATCCTGTATTCCACAGGGCACTATCCGTTGAAAAGCTGCTAAATCAGTGCTTACATTGAGTGCTAGGCCATGGAATGTGATCCATTGAGAAACCTTAATGCCAATGGCAGCTAGCTTCTGATCTCCTGAAAGAACAAGACATACATATTTCAAAAACATGCAGCACTGAAAAATAACATTAGAAGAGCTTACAAACTAGAAAGAGATTACGGTCTTACCAACCCAAACACCAGTCAAACCTTCAACCCGTGAAGCTTTGATAGAAAACGATGAAGAAAGAGCTCGAATTATCACCTCTTCCAGTGCCCTGAGGTACCAATGAAGGTCCATCTTTTGGTAACGGAGATTGATAATAGGGTACATAACTATCTACAGAACCACAATGTATAGATTTCAGAAACAAATCACAGATATCAATTCTTGCTCTCACATCTATAGAACTGCAATGTATATCTTTTTCAGAAGAATTTTTTCCACTTTTGGTCCCACGACTTTTAAAACTTTGCCACATTTGATCCCTCTGACCTAATTTCTGGACACCGGACCAAATAAATTTCAGAAACAAGTCCCAAATATCAATTCATACTCACACACATCTATGAAATTAGTCTGTATAATCTTTGAAGTTAACAGCACATAGCAAAGTCTTGAGGTTATCACTTATCAGAAATGGATCTCAGAGGCCTAATTAATCATCATCCCTACATCAATGCCAATGCAACAGGGCAAGGCTTTCATCAACATCTAGATTTAGAGCCTAACTAAACTGAAACTTTCAACCCATTCAATCCAAAGTTTCAATAATTGAATATTAGCTTCTACTAAGATACCCCATGGTATACCAAGAATTTCTCAACCACACAAAAATGGCATAGGAATAAGTTAAACTGTGGCGGGCAAAGCAGAATGCACCTGGCCAGGCCCATGATATGTAACTTCGCCACCACGTTCCGTTCTGTACACATCAAAAGGAGCATTCTTTTGATCAAAACGCAAGTATTCTTCTGAACCGGCAGCTCCCAAGGTATAAACCGGATGGTGCTGCAAAACAATCAGGCTGTCTACAAAATCTTCATTTCTTTGAACCAGTGTTTTTCTCTCCTCGACAATGGACTTCTGCAACGACCAGGCATCAGCATAGGGGACTAGCTCCTTGTGCATATCATAGCACTCGCAGCTGGTTTTCAGGAGAAAAAGAAACACCCACGAGTGAAAAAAGCCACGCACACCAAGCGTTCGAGAGAATTACGGACAGAAAAAAATTACCGTCTTTTAGCTTCAATCTTGAATGACGTTGATCTTGAGATAGTGACAGAATCGGTGCTTCGGTTTTTCTTACATGAATGTATAGGTGGCCGAGTTAGAGTTGCGCAGAAACCAGAATTTGGCAAGACAATCATTTTCCGCACATAAACAATCAATATCAGCGGGAATTGTAGTCCATTGTGTTCAACTCCTAGTTGAAATCAGCGAAAATCAAATGTAAAACTAAACAAATTTTGCGGTGATTGTTCAAGGACGGAGCTTTCAAAGCAAGAATAAAAAATGGGCCCTTTTGACTTATGGGCCTGTACATTTGGGCTTCATTCAAAAGGGCTTGATTTACTCCGAGAGAGATCTGAACCTTATATGGAGTTGTTATACCATGGACCAGTGTCCACATTGCAAAGTGAACCCTGATCCTAAACGACGTATAAATTGTGTATTTTAATTTTTAATTATTGAAATTGTGAACTTCTAGAACATAAATTGTGTTTTTAAGTTAAAGCACATAACAACTGTAAAAAGAAATTTATATAAATACAATAAGGGTCATCAAATTCTAATGTGTTAATATTATGTGACTGCAGTATTTGAAAGGAACTTGTGAATACAAAATAAGGTAATCAATTACATATATGTTAACCAGTTAGGTTGGCGTGAGTGATCAATTTTAAAGGCGCATCCTACAGTTAAAGCATACTTAAGCTTGACCAAAAATTCATTATTTGTGCATTATGCATATATTACCTGTGCATTGTGTAGATCAAAATGCCTTGTGTTTAAAGCTATTTAATTAAACAATTTTGTTGATGAATAACCAATCAAAATGAATGTTTTTAAAAATAAAGACTAAAAGCTTATAACACTTATAAATTAAGACTAGGACAAAAAATGTGGTTAGAATAAACCCACACCTCCATTCTAAAGTAGGGTTAAATTTTTTTTAGTTGGCCAAGTAGATGAGGAATAGAACCGAAAAGAAACAAGATTTGATGGGAACATAGTAGCATCTTCATGAGACCACAGGCGGGCGTCGGCAGCACGTAACCGCGGCCGGCGGGCGTTGGAAGTATTAGGAGACGGTGTGGTTTTCTCCATGTAATATGGCACGTGACACAACAAAAAGGAATCATTTCTTGGAATCTCCAGATTCATATTTCATAGTATGACTAAGCCGACGATCCACAGGAGTCGACCAGTACAATTCTAAGGAAAGATGTCAAACGCCACGTGTTCGGCTATGGCTGCTTGTGGCCCTACTCGTTCAGTTGTCACGTAAGCCGCCGAGTGTAAAATAAAGGAAAATTCCATTATTCCTACCCCCCTTGCATGCCAAGAAAAGTGAAGAAGAAGAAGAAGCAAAGAAAAAATTGAAAAGAAAGTTAATATGCCACGAATCTTCTATATATGCTCCCAGCTGCCAAAAATCTGGGAAACAGAAATCCACCTTATTTATACGACTTTTGGGCTGTGGAAATTTTGTAATAGCTAGCTAGCGACTAGTAAAGGAAAGGCTAAAAGTTGGAACCTTTCCAAGCTAACAACAATGGCAGCCACTGGAAGACTGCTAAGAACATCAAGGCCGTGTGTGGGTATTGGAAATTCTCAATCTTGTTATTCTTTCTATGGTCCAAAAGGCTCTTCTGCTAGATTTGTAAGCAAAGGTGGGTTTGGAGGGGAGAAGGGGATTGGAGATGGTGAAAAACAACCTAAATCAGCAACCAAGGTGGTCGCAGCTGCAGCAACCTCAGCAAGTTGTTTAGTCACTACTCCAGAGCCCAAGACAGAGAAAGGGTTGTTGGATTTGGGTTTTTTATTAGGAAAGATCTCAACTTTAATGTTTCAGAGATTGAGAATGATTACCATCAGACTGCCAAAGAAATTGCATGCCCAGATCTTGATGGAGAAGGTATATATTGTCTGTTTTCTGGAATTGCTAAAAGAATGTGGGCAACCAAATGAGTAAATGAGATCTGGGTTTTAATTTGCAGGCTATAGTAGACTGCCGATTCTTTACTTGGTTTGCAGTTGCAGGGTCTCTGCTAGGTTCAGTTCTGTGCTTTTTTGAGGTTAGTTCTTTCTTAATTGGTTGTACAAATTTCAAGATTGCATGATCGATCTACTAGGAAATTAAACTGAAGGATCTGTAAAAGGAAATGATGTTTATTTGCAGGGTTGTTACATAATCGTGGAATCATATTTCCAGTATTTTCATGCAGTCTCACAACATTCAAACCAAGCCCATCTTGTGCCCCTGTTAATAGAAGCCATTGGTATATATATTCCATTTCCTATTCAAAGCTTAGATTTGGGATATCATGGAAACCCAGAGAAGTGAATCTGTATCCCCTTCCTTGCAGACATGTTTTTGGTAGGAACAGCTATGCTTACATTCGGGATAGGACTGCATGTCATGTTTGTTGGATCAAACAATTCTAAAGACCAAATGCCACATCTTCCAGGCTCACACTTGCTTCCTGCTCTCAAGGTAAGAATATTTCATTATTGAGACAACCCAACCAAGTTGATCAGGTTGTTGGCTTGATAATCACTAGGTTCCAAGTTCGACGCCGATTGAGAATGGCCTATTATTGGCCTTCTTGGCTTGAGCTGTTTATGGACAACCTAAGTTGGTTTACCCCGAAAATGATGTTATGGTGATTATTTTTGCGTCTCTTATAGAGTCTCCCGGAGAAGGTTGGAATGCGGTCAGTTATGCAGGCAAAGTCGAAAATCGGGCATGCTGTGATAATGATACTCCAGGTTGGGGTGCTGGAGAAGTTCAAAGAAATACCTTTGGTTAGCAGCTTGGATCTTGCTTGTTTCGCCGCAGTTGTGTTTGTTTCGTCGGCCAGTGTCTTCCTTCTTTCCAAACTTAGCACCGGAACCGCAGCAGCCGATACATAGACAAGAAAAAATGCTAATTATGTATGTGGCTGTCGGAGTGTCGGGAAGCCAAAAGCACTATAGAATAATGGATGTAAATGAGAATAGGAATCATTTATTTTGTTTATTATTTCAACATTTAATATAAATTAAATCAAACATTAAATTTTCAAAAAAAAAATCAAACATTAAAGAAATACTCTATATGTTTCATTTTATTTGTCAAACTCACTATCTATGGGTCAAAACAACTTTTTCTTCGTTGTTTATTTCTAATAGCATTTTTTTATAATTTTAAATTTTGTTTTGTTTGTTTTTAATAGTACTTTTAATATAGTTTGTAAATATATACATTTTATATACTAATTTTAAACTTAATATTATAAAAAATTAAATTGTAAATAACTTCAGTCAAACTTCATTAATCAAAACAATCTATCAAGTATAAGATGGAAAGAATACTATAATTTGAAATAATTGCAGCCAAATTGATCATAACATTAACTTGATAATTACAAAATTTCAAATTTTATTTAAAATGTGAACAGCCTAATGACCTTGATTAAGCCGATCAACTATGAACAACTAGGTTGATTTACCTCATTGTAATCATTTATCGACTAAAATTACAAAGTAAAATTTACCCAATGCAACCCTCGAGATAGTAATTAACTAATTATGGAAAAGAAAGTAGATACAACTTGTCTTCACAAGTAGAAATGATACTCCGTATAAATTAAGCCAAGAAAGATATACACGTACAAGTTCTACTCAACTGGCTCTGGTGAAACTACACCGTCTATTACAAGAGAAGTTTTCAAAAAAAAAAAAAAAAAAAACATTACAAGAGAATAGACCCAACAAATATATAAAAGAAAAAAAAAACATATACAAAACACAACCGAATGCAGAAGGCACATCTACAAGCCCCTTTTCCCATTCTCCACAAAACAGAAAAGAAGCCGGGAGTTGTGTAGTCTAGCGGCAAGACTCGGTCTCAAGTTCAAAAAAGAATATAACTAAATATACAGGACAACGAATACGGTTACATAGATGCCAGGATTCCTTTCATTTCTGTAACAGACGGGATGGCCTCATCACCATAAATCTTAGCTACGAGCTGATGAAAACTGTCATACTTGTCCAGAAACTCCTTCTGCCAGAAATAAAAATAGTTTTCAGTAAGATGATAAACAGAACATTGTTTTTGGATATCAGCAAACAGGTATCCAGTTTACGACATATACCTTGCATTTATCCCACAATGAAGGCAACAACTCATCTGAGGTTAAGTTCTTCTGCAATCTCTTGTACATCAAAGTGATGGACTTGTCAACCTGCACACCCAATCTATGATCACCAACATCTTCAGATCTAGAGTTGTAAGAATTTATTAATTGACTTACCCCTGATAAACTAGATTTGACAACCTTCCGAAGATCCATCTTAGACAATCCAAGCTGGAATGGAATCTGAAATTTTTAAACATATCAATACCAGAATTTGGCTGACAGCTACTGTCCATAACTTGTGGAGAACATGGACAGTAATTCAGTTTAGGCAACTAACCTCTTCTGGTGTGATCGTGTACATTAAATCCTCAATTCTTTTCGCAAATTGGAAGAGTCTCTCAAATTGCTGCAGAGAATTTCATGATAGGCATCCTTAAAAAGCAAAACTAGGGCATGAAGTAATTTGCACACAGAACAATTTAGAACAAAGTGGAAGGAAATAATACACAATAATTTATGAAAGTTGGTTGACGTACATTATATATAATCACATTGATGTGACGTGTACAAGCCTGTTCATAAGACTCACTAGCTTGGTGATAAAACCTTGCTAAAGTGGGCACAACATTGGCCAGGTCATACAGACTGCAAGCAACTATCTCCCATCAGCATTTTTATGGTAATGGTATCAGAATGATGTATTACAATACCCAATACATTTAAGGTGCATCAGTAGGAGATTACCTATTCTGAAATGCAGCATAGTTCTCTAAAAGCATAATGTCTGCATATTTTGGCTCAGCCTGAGCAATTTTGTCTAAAGTCGCAAACATTGTAGAAACCTGCCACACATTCCCAGAAATAAGAGTTAACCTCAAGAAGAGATAAGTTTCAATTTTTTAAAAAAATAAAGTTAAAAGTAAATAGAAACCTGCCACACACATTCCTGGAAATAAAAGTTAACCTCAAGAAGAGATAAGTTTCAATTTTTTTAAAAAAATAAAGTTAAAAGTAAATAGAAACCTGCCACACACATTCCCGGAAATAAAAGTTAACCTCAAGAAGATATAAGTTTCAATTTAAAAATAATAATAATAAATAATAATAATAATAATAATAATAATAATAATAATAATAATAATAATAATAATAATAATAATAATAATAATAATAAAGTTCAAAGTAAATAGAGACCAACCAAGGCAACCATGGCCTGTGGGGAGCCAGGGCACATGATGTGTGAACATTCAATACATTTGTAATGAATATTTTCTTAAAAGATCAAAAGTGAAAAATTAGTTTAATCAATGTGAACTTTTCTTCAGCCAACAGCCATATACCATGATACACCATGTTTGCATTTGGGCACATGGCATTATTACCAGGTATTGATAATAAAATTAAAATTAAAAAATAAAAAATAAAAATAAAAAAAGAGTGAAAAGAATTAAAACCATTCCAAATAGAATAGAGAGCAATGCTAGAAATGCTTTCTCCAATGCTATGTTGTTTACGAGAACTAGACCATAGAAAGGGTTATATTATCATTTGAGCTATTTAGAAGAAACCACTCCACTCAAGAAAGAATTGACTATCCCATTACTGATCGTCCTGAACCACTGTACCATATCATTTTGTGGCACCCTTGACAGGAGCACCAAACACTACAGAAAATAAGAGAACTCACAAATTTAGTGTATGCCTGATCAACCAAGTCCCTTGACTGTCCCTGGATATATTGCTCCATACGGGTTGCAAGTGTAGCAAATCTATTAAGAAAAAGTACACAAATCATAATGTACATCAGAGTGCAGGAAATATAATTTCATAAATCCAATTTCTTATAGATTTCAGTGAGATCATATTACTATACAGCTGAGGATACAAGCATGTGCAAACAAGATTAAGAGAAAAAAATACATCAAATAAATGAATACAAGTACCACTTAACCCTATCTCAAGACCATTTACTAAAAATAATGAAGAGAGCGGCATTTAACTGATAGTTCAAAATACTTGGTAGTGAAAACAAGCATAAAAGTGGGTGGTGAAGTAGCACCCTTCTTTCCTACAAGAAAAGGTTATGATTATTATTGTTATTGCTGTTGTTATTGTTTTTACATCAGTGTGGAATGGGGTAAAATAAATTACATTTGAACTCTAAGTCTAGAAGGCTTCACACCTCAGCCAACTAAGCCAAGGAGCATTGGTGGAAATAAAATATGTCTCCTATTTATGTTTCTCTCTGAAAATGGAACCCCTGTAGAAATGATTTTTTCCCCACAACTGGGGTAAGAATGTATAACATCTTGCCCTGTCTGATAGTCAAAAACTGAATAACCGAAAAGTTTGACTGCCATATTCCTGAGGACAAAACGGAATATATTTTACCTGGGTATATATGACAAGACCCCCAACTGTCGAACGTTCCGCTCATTTCTTTCAATCTGGTGACAAGCTTCATCTACAAACTGCAATGCAAGCATACAAAAAAAAGTACATGGATAATACTCATAACCTCTGAATGTTTATTATAAGACCATGTGTGTATAGGTACATGCATAAAAAGATGCAAAAGCTTACACGGCTAAACTGCATAGAAATTCTAGATTCCAGGTCATCAAGCAAGATACGAACAAACCCTGCTGCATCAGCTTTCTGACCAGAAATATACCGTTCTGTGATTCCATGCATTGATATGCAGCGTAAAGGATCAATCTTGTATGCCCAATCTACCACAGCATAAAAGTCTTCCTAAAGCACATAAAATCAAGGGAAAAGAGATTCATCTCAGGATATATTCAATGTCAGAATATTTAACAACAATCAATTAAGAAATTGTTAAAACTTAAAAGAAAAAAAGTCACTTGTATTCCATCAAGCAAATCATGAAGTGAGTCATTTAATGCTTCTAGCTCTGATGAACTTTTGCCTGCAAAAAAAAAAAAAAAGGTGCACAGTTTAGTAGTTCCATGGATGAACTTTTCAGCTTATCAACTACTATAACTTTTTACTGTATTTGGATAGACTTATGAAAAGAGTTTATTGCTTTTGAGAAACTGTTTCGAGTTTATCTTCATAAGCTATTTCAAGAAACTTATTACAATAAGCAGAAGAGCAGCTTTTCAAATGCCAATTGAAATGGCAAAACCATAGTATTAAGTAGTCCATTAGCCCCCACCCTTCCCCTCCCCCTGTTCTCTCTTCTAGAATTGCAATGATACTATCCAGCTTAATACAGTGAACAAAGTCTAAGACACATGCACTCAACTTGGACAAATAATCCAATTGGGGCAATGGATGCTAAACCAATAAATTAGTAGTCCATTCTTCATATATAAATAAAAACTAACGAATAAAAACATTAAAAGGGAGACGAAGTACCAGCTTTGTTGTCATTATCATCAATATCCATGATGCCTAAATCATCATCATCATCCTCATCTTGTACACTTTTATTGCCATTGGCAACTCCTCCTGGAGGAACAAGTGCAGGAACTCCAAAGCACATAAAATGTGCAAAGAAAGAACTCTGCAAAATTTAGGAATACAGGTTTAATTGAGACTCAATAATAATACACAATATGTACAAGTCAGCACTTAGGGATGCACCCCACAGAGAATGCTGCAGAAAGTCAAAGTGTAACCTCATCCACAAGTAGTGGGATAAATATTGTAAGCATTTTAGCATATGCTTCTGACACAGTAGAAGTGTCTGCATTATTCACACTCTGGCTGGAACCTGTGGAACCTTCAAGCCATACAGTTGGATTTCTTGATGCCTTTGTACTTGCACGAAGTTCATTTGCAAACTCACGAGCCTGCAAAGAACCAACAGCACAATGTAACAAACAACACCATAGACCATAGTTTTCCTAAACAGTCAGACACACTAAAATGCCAAGAGTTTACTCATTCTAGTTGGCAAATATGATCTCATGAGAGATTCTAAAAAGGACTAGAAATGAACAATGCATTATAAATTAACAGAAGGCAGACCGCAGGCGTTCAAAGCAGCTAATAGCATTGAAAACTCAACAAATGTGAGTAAATTTCATTCTTGGTTCTAAATGTTTAAGCTAAGTTTCAATGGTCCTAAAAATGCTCTAATAGTTTTAATTTAATCATGAATTTATGCCATACATTCCAATTAGATGCCAATAATATTTCCAACCAATTATATTACAAATGGATAAGGAAAACTTGATATTTCATAAATATATGCTTTTGATTTGTTTTCAACATTATTTTCTACTTTTTCATTTTTAGTTCTCTTTCCCTTCTCCCAAACATTCTCATACAATTAAATAAATTTGCTATTGGAATACAAGTCTGGATTTTTTTTTCACCTGTTAACTTCAATTCCTTGTCTTCTCAACAATAACAAACATTTGAAGGTTCACATACATTTGGATTTTAACTATGTATAATTTCTTCCAAGAATCTAAAACTTTGGCCCTTCCTGAATTCTTTTCTTTAAATTAGTTTAAAGAGCAAATATGGACATTTCTCTTAGTAAAAAAAACACAAAGCTCTTAAAAACATGTGCAAAGTGAACAACATTATAGAAGAAGAAAAAGAATGAACTGAGTCAAATTTCTCATTATTCTTACATAACATGATCAATAAGACGATAAAAGAATGGTTGTTAAGATGAAAGAAAGTTGCAGGGTTGGGTGTAGGTGACTAGCTGGTAGACTAGGCCACTAGGGAATGGGAGAGAGAATAACAAAGATGAAGGGGAAGGTGTGTGTGTGTGCGTGCGGGTGGGTGGGGGGGAGGGGGGGTGGGGGGTGAACTTATGTTACTAAATACCAAAGTTGTCCTTGTTCACATGTTAAAAAATTGGCCTTCAAATCTAGTTGAAACCAATCCCATATATTAAGGACGAAACTGAAACTATAAAAAAACATTCAGGACCAAATTGAAATTTAATTTAAACTTTAAGGACTAGGAATGAAATTACTCCAACAAATGTAGGCAAATAAAAATCAAAAACTTTCAAGATAATTTCACAAAGTTCATGAGCTAACTTACCTCACGGCGCAAAAGCAAGTTAAGGGATGTACAGTAAGCTTTTCTTAGAGGGCCTAAGCAGTTCTTGTCAAGGCTCTGCACATGAAAGATAATAATTAAATAAAAGAACATGTGTTCTATAACTTAATGCAATTATATAATACATCCTTATCTAACCTTCAAGTGTTGTAAAAGTCGAGCATACGTCCGACACTTGTATCGTAGATCGGCATGGTCAGGCCTTTTCAATTGCCCACGCTGTTAAATTACATGATGAGCAGTTCTCAACAATATAATTATGGAAAAATAAACATCATGACCATAAAATAGGAGATTTTAGGAGACACTGAGTACCTGAGAGAAGTAACTCTTATCACTTATCATGAAATCAACCAAACTAGAAAAGTAGTCTCTCAAGAACTCAGAAGCTCTACGAACAAAAGTAGTTTTCAATTTGTCAAGTTCTGCTTGCTTCTCTTTTACCTATTAAGAGGTTCAAAAGCATTTTCATAAGCAACTTACAATTTTCTTTACAAAATGAGACACATATATAAGATCACTGGTATGGCAAAATGACATTGCTCAATGCAAAGTGAGGTTTCTGGAGGTAAGGAAAACTTGAATTAACAACACTTGTACAAAGGTTCAAACCTTCCAAATACATAAATAGACCCTAGCCTTGAAATGATTCAATTGAATTTTAGGAATTGACTGGGTAACATATACAGGTCAAAGATCCTGTAAATACTTTACATAGAGCATGACCATTACTACCCTTTTTTTTTTGAGTGCTACAACCATTACTACCTATTTCACTAAATAATTCAACAAATGTCACTAAATATTAGCTATTCTCATTAAGAGGAATGCACACCTAAATCACTATTGTTTTCTCTACATTAGTTACAATGTTATTTATGCCCAGTGCTGAGAAATGAGCCTTTAAAGGAGAGGTAAGAGAAACTAATATAATATGTACATACAGCTTGCATTTTGGCATAGCTAGGATCCAAATTAGGTGCTTCAAGGCCACGTAGAGCATTGGTCAACCATTCGCAAGCTTCAATATTTTGAAGCATGCGTGCTTCATCAAATGAACCACTGGTTAAACTTGCTGCATACTGAGACAAGGAAAATTATTAGGCAAAAACATAAAAGCATTAGTAATCAGTTGTGTAATCTGTACTAAAGAAAAAAGAGAAGCACCTCAGAAGGAATTCGTAATTTTTCAAGAAGCTTATCAAGTTGCTCAATCAATACTTCATTGTTTACTGACTGCATTTCCAACTTGTTATTGCGGACTTCTATCTGCATAAAGTACAAAGGAGGGCAAGCAGATAAATCACTTGCATGGGTGGGCATATGAAATTAGATATGAAATGCAGAAGTTCCCTACCGATTCGATGTCTTCTCTCATGTGTCTAAGTTTTAAATTAAAGATGCTCAACCATTCATCCATGTCTTCAACACAACTAGAAGCAGATTCAAGCCCCTGTAGTACCTGTAGAACCAGAAATATACAATTAAGTTTAATAATAATAAAAATAACAATAATAGAAGTGGATACAAGCAACTTTGTTTCAAAGGCATTGTTTTATGATCTAAAAAAATTAAACCTAGGGGGAAGATATGAAGCATGACTGCATGATACATCAGTACTGACAGTCCCTGAAGCTATATGCATATTATGAATTAATTTCATATTTTAAAAATTACACATGGACATGCAAATACATATTACAACATTGTATATAAAGAAAAGGAGTAAGAAGCATGGAACTAAAATATAGGCAGCAAACTGATGATAACACTCAAAAAATTTGCAATTGTCACCTCATCTATTAAAGGCTCATTCTCCAATATGGCATGGACATTTGCTGCTTCCAAAGCTTGAAGTTCTCTCTTCATCCTCTCAGAAAATGCCTCAGCTTCACCAATGCCAATGACATAACTGCAGATCATACATGATACAACTCTAGACATAGTCAGAACCATGTTAAGATCAAAGGATAAACAATAAGGAAGACTTTTTGTAAGATACAAATTAAGTGGGCTTGTATCCAAATCTTTAAAATTTGACAATGGAAAAGAAGCATAGGATTTAGAAAAACAAAGTTCAAGACAAGTGACCAAAATGTTGTGGGTGGGGGAAGTACTACACTTCCATGAAACAATATGCAACTTAGAAGAATTATTTTACACAAGAAAAAAAAAATTAAATAAAAAACAGATATCAGATACTACAGTGATAAAGTGAAATTGTATCAGAGTTTGTGTGTGTGTTGAGAAACTACAGTGTTTTATAATAAACAGCAGCAAAAACCGTTACTAGAATGTAGTTAGAATGCAGATATATCCCTTTTCTCCTCCTTTGTGCAGTAATAAACTTAACTATAGAACTCAAATAAACTAGCCACTATTTACTTCACTCCAATATCCCAGGTCATACTGAGACTTGAAAAAGTAGAGGCTCCAAAAAGGAGGCATATGAAGTATAAATGCCATTTAAATCTCTAACTAAATCCTGAGAATAAGTCACTTTTAGGAAAAGAGTGAAAAAAGTTACATACGTGCCTAAAAGAGCCTCCATATCCTCCTCCTCAGCTTGCGACACAAGTTCCCTTTCAACAGTCACTCTCATGTCATCTTCTGCCTCCACGGCAGCCACAGGCATAGCTTGAAGGTTACCACCTTTTTGTTTGCTAATTACAGCAGGTGTATTTTCCTGCATTAGATGTATACATATTAAGGCTATGATTGTAAAACTAATTAATAAGTGCAGGTTTCTAAGACAGGAGGAATAAATATAATTTTCTAGACACGAATGTCAATCATTAGAGAGTAATTTCTTTTGGAAAGTGATATACTAAAAGACAAATTTTTAAATAATATGCAACATGATTGAAGGCTTGAAGCAAGTGAAGAAAATTTTAATGAGCACCTTCGCCCAAAGTGCCATCTCTACCACGTCTACCCCAACAACCTTTGGGAGACGGCCCAATACATCTTTGCAGAGGTTTAAGATGCAAAGCAAAAGGCGATTCCTGAGTACATAAATATTTCACTGGATTACTGAAAAGATCAACATAGAACTATCAAGACAAAGTTCAGCTACTCAAATGAGATACTGCACCTGTCATCAACGTTGCGCATTGTCCATTGAGGGGGAGCTACAGATGCACTTCTAAGATTATCAAATCCCTATAGCAATGAGATCATCAAATTAAGGATTTTCAGCTGGGCAGCTACATATGGATATCATTAATTAAGCCAAAATTCACAGGAGAAATAACAAAAGGTTATGAAATTAGAATCACCAGAGTAAATGTACAGCCACTTGGATCATTAGTTACAACCTCCACCTTTGAAAGATGCTTCAGCTTATACAACTTGGCAGGCTAAAGGCACATAAGTAATTATATTGTTAGCTTAAGCATTGATTTAAAGAAAATGTGCTTGACATGAATACATTTATTCAAGACACACTTATTTTTAAACATTTAAATCAATATAAACTGCTTTTGACGAGTATTATCAATGGGTTCAGAGAGGCAGAGACATACATCCTGGTTGGAAATTAGTTATTACCTGCAACGTTAGTTCATTGTATTAGCTTAAATGCCAGCCAAATTAGTTGTCAGCTATTTAAATTTGAAAAATGATATAAAAGGGCATGAGTACATTTTATCGTTGATAATCATTCTTTTTTAATACTCCGTAACACTTTTAGATCTTTATGAGTTTATTTTTATGAGAATATAATTATTTAATTAATTATTTAAATAATTAATTAATTAAATAAATAAATAAGTGAAATTTAATAATTTATTATTTAAATATCACCTACCAAAATATTAGGCAATGCATTTAAATTTTCACAACTTATGAGTAGGGTTGTCATTTAACATATTTGACATTTATACTACAAAAAAAAAAAAAAAAAAAAAAAAAAAAAAAAAAAAAAGCTCCTCAAACAAGCTTTTTCAAATTAGTATTTTGAGCTCAAACAACTAATTTTAAAAATTGTTACAACACACAAAAATTATCTTTTTTACCCAGACAAACCTCTAATTCTGCTTCAAAAAGCAAAAAGCTCTTTGCCAAACGGGAAAAATAGATTTGTTGATTACTATATTTGAATTAGAAATACAACAGCTCTGTTTTCAAACATACTAACTGCATAAAAAGGTAAAAACAAAATAAGTTTTCATTTCATAATTTTAAAGACCATCGGCAATATTAGAACCTATGTTAACAGTTTCATGCCAATATATATATGCTATAATGACTAAACCATCGATATATTTTATATACTAATAATCTATGAGTTTACATGTAAGAAACTGATTAGGAAAATCACCAAATAAATTACTAAGAAAAAAAGGTAATTACCTCAAGAACACCTCCAGTGGAATACTTTAGCACACGTAGAAAAGCTCTAGTCTGCTGACCTTTTTCTTTTGCTGCATAAGCCACAAGAAAGGGTTAACTAAATAAATAAAAGCAAAGCTAATAAATTGACAACTGGAATAATTGTACAATAGAAATATATCAAAGCACTCTATAATCAGGGAGGGAAATAAGGAAAATGCATAAAATATAGCTCTAATTGAGGTGGATGTGAAGGAGTATGCGAAAGGACCATATCAGAAATGACTTCATTTAAAGCAAGGTGGAGACAATTTTGATTAAGATGATTCCTATAAGTGCATCACAAACTTTAAGATGTGCCAGTTTGCAACAGTGATAATGAGTAATGAGAGATACTCCGTAGTAGATAAGGAGGAACACCACAACTTGGGTGGATATTGGATAAACTCAAAAAAGTAATTAGGATTGGAGTTCAAGTGCTCAAGGTCTTAGTAGAACTGAATGGAGACATAGCATCAAGATAGTCTACTGTAACAAGATTAGTATTAAGATTAGAGTTTAGTAGATTATTATTTATTTTTCCTTCACTATATCAAACAAATATAACTGGAACTTCTTACAGATTATTGAACTTAAAATCGGCAAGCTTACTGATTGACATTTATATCCACTACTGGAATTTCTATAGAAAGCACAAAACAATTATCTGAAATACAGATTTTAACTTTCAGTCCCGTTATAATCAAAGCAAGGCGCCTATCAAATGCTAAAACCATAGCTATAAAACTCCAGCATAACACAGACATTGTGAGCACTCCGATGTAAACTGTCATTAGTCTCTTACAGTACAAGGCTTGTATATCGGGAATTAGAGTCAGATCACGGCGCAATTGAAAATGTGAAATACCGTAGAAAGACGGAAATCGCGTACCGGAAATAGCTAGAACCCTAGGTTTGGCCATTTGACCGCGGCCTAACTTGCTTCCCGGTTTGCCCCAGATCCCGCGGCTCTTGGCGACTCGGATCGACATTAAGACCGTCTGCTTGGTGCTTTCTATCACCACCTCGCAGGCTCTCCGGAGCTCCTCATCGTCGGCGCTGGATTTCGCCATTCACTAACTAATCTCTCTCTCTCTCTCTTCCGGCCTCCTAGCTCGCCTGCAATAAGGAGAATTGGACAAGGTGATCCTGAATTTTCCGGGAGAAATTCAGTCTACACGAGTCATTGAAGACCACTTATGACGATAAAAGAAAAGTACACGTATATCTTTGCCCGGAGCTTGCGCAACGCTGTACTTTCACAATGAAAAACGATACCGACAGCTACTACACGTACCATTTCATACATTTTTTAAAATATATTTATAGATAGGTTAATCATGTAACAAACATTGTTTTTTTCAAATATGTACACTTTTTTCTTAGATCAATTGGAAATTGGAATTAGGAGTGATCAAAAACACAAACTACAATAATGAATACTCTATGAGCACAACTCTCCTTGAATTCTCTTAAATAATTTGTTAGAAAATGAAAAAAAAAAAAGTATATTCAAATACAATTATACATAAGTTAAGACTTTATAAGGGATGCACACTAAAACACTAACAACTTCGCATGCTTTCACTCAACCTACAAATTAACAATAAGACACAAATAACAACTTCATCCAACTTGGTTAATTGAAACGGTTTATTAACTTTATTGATTTGAGCTTAACTGAGTAATTTATAATCATTGTCAAAACTATTCACTTACTACTAAACTTTGCCCACTCACAATATACAAAACCATATGAAATGTCACATTATTAGTTTTTACTGTCATACTCTGGACTTATATTCTTATAAATCCCGTTTAATTCAAATTATGTGGTAATTTTTAATAATTTAACATTAAAAAATATTATCAAATTTGTAATTTATTCATTGTTTTTCTACATCTATATAATACATTCTTACTTTTTAAATGTTTTCACTTTCACATCACATTATAATATAACAACAAAATAATAATAAAATAAATAAATAATTTTTTTTTTAAAGGCCGTCATTTACTTTGCAAGCTTGCATTCCAGGTAAACACATAATAATAATAATAATAATAATAATAATAATAATAATAATAATAATAATAATAATAATAATAATAATTTCCACACAGACTTCCACATCATCTTGCAAATGCCAACATTAATGGGATAAAGATAGTATGACCGCATAAGGAATTGAGGTAATATGAATCAATAAATAATTAAAAATAGAGTTAATTATATTTGATGTCCTAGATTTATAGGTGGCAAATCACTTTTAATTTTTTTTTTTAACATTCATTTTTGGTTATAATATTATTATTATTACATTATCATTATTAATTCTTTATCAATAAAACAATTTAGATGTTGTTAAATACAATGTCATTTCGACATTCAATTATGATTTTTTTAAATAATAAATAAACTTAAAATTGTAGCAGTCAACCCACTTTATATTAAAAAAAAATCAAAATGGCCTTATTTTTAAAGGCATTTCAATGATTTTATTAATGGAAAAGCAAAAATGATCATGTTAGAATAATACTAGGATCAAATGGCAATATTTCGATTAAAAAAAAAAAAAAAAAAAAGACTTGGACTACCACCTATAAATCTATAACAAAAAATGCAATTAACTCTAAAAAATTAACTGTCATTGAAAAATACTGTTTATCAAATTATCCACTAGCTAGTAACTACATAATTTGGTCCACTATGCATATTACTACTCAGGATATTCATCGATCTTGTGAAGCCTACCATTTTCCTTGCTTATAATCTGCAGAGACAAAGTTTAACAAAATCTGCAGTTAAAGAGTGACACTTGTTAAAAAGGAGTCTTCAAGTTCTGATGCCTTCAGTGCGCCGCGTGAGCTATAGGGAGCTACGTTATGGTTGGACTGAAGATGAATCAGTAAATCGCTTTCAATGCAATCATACCTGCAAACCAACATTATATTCATCACATAAATGAAAAAACATTAGCAGTACTTGTTTAAAAACAGAACAGAAGAGGGCCGGGGAGGCCGGGGATCTTACAGTTGTGTGCAGAAGTTATCAATGACTCCCGAGAGAGTGACAATCTTCATTTTCATCTGGACAACCTTATCTTCGGGGAAATCATCAAACTTCTCATCCAGACACATCGAGAGCCTCTCGATGTTTGTCTCGAGCTGCTGTTGCTGGTCCTCGAAAAGGTCCTGTTTGATGTCCTTTTCTCGTTGGGTCATATCGTTGTCGTAGAGTTCATCGCCAAACATGTAATAAGCAAATGCATAGGAATAGGAGAGAAGCCGTCTCGAGTGGGAGAGCCTGTAAAATCCATTTGTCACCCAGCCAAAGTCTTTCGATGCCAAACCTTTCAGTTCGAGATTCAAAACCTTTTCCTGTAACTTTTGCTTCATACTTGCTTCAGCCTTGAGAGAATCGGAGTGAGCTTTGTAACGGCTGTAGTAATGAGAGTAGCGGAACATCTGCTTTCTCGAATCAAAAACTTTCTTGTCCTCATGAGATTCTTTGAATCTCCCACAAGTGTGACCCTCGATACTTTCCCACGTATGATTGATACCAGTAGCACCACCACAAAGCCAACTAAACGAAACGAAGAAAATTAAACGAGCCCATTTAACGAGTGATAAAGAAATAAACCAACAAATCGGAATTATATTAGTACTCACCAAAACGGCTGTCCACATATGCATTGAACGAGGTTGCACCCTCCGCTTTTCTCCACGGGCTTACTGCATTTCGGGCAATACTTTGTGTTGGCTGTAAGCCAATCGACTGAGCCCGAATCTTCACCGCATTTCTTCATCCACATCTCCCACATCAGGCACGAACAAGGCGAGTGTGTTTCGGATGAGCAACCGAAACAGAATTGTAGACCACACGCACATTCAACCTCGCAACATTCATCACACTCGAGACGGATTGCATTCCCACAATGTGGTGTGCTCGGGCACCATTTCACCTGCTTGTTATCATCGATATACGACTCCAAAAGAAAATGATCGAATTTCTCTGCCAATTCCTGATCCCGAGCTCTAACTAGGTCTCTAATCTTCCCTTCATCGCAAATTGCATTGCACTTGTATGCCATGCATTTGATGCGTTTACTATGACCCTCATTTATTTGCACTATGAAATGCTCTGTCCAACCTACACCAAACAATTCAAAATCATATCAACTTTAACCGACTCAACAGAACTTAAAGAATATAGCCTTCTAAATCCAATAGTTGAAATTAAATCCTTACAATCGTTGCAAAAAGAATGGCCACAATCCATTATAGTTGTCTTTGCAGCAGGAATATCATCAAAGCAGATTTCACATGTCATCTCAGCGGTGGACTCAGATAACGAACCATCATCTTTGCATTCTATTGTTAAACCAGCATCAGCATATAGCCTTTCCTTCCCTTTCTCCACAAACACCGTAAAGACCTTGTCAACATCCCAACAGTAATGAATAAGTAAGGTGCGTGCATGATATTCCTTAATTGATAGCAAATCCATTAATCTCTGCAAGTCCTCTTTCTGCAAAATTAGCACATATCACTAACCCGACTGATCAAATCAAATCAAATCAAATTAACAAAATTTAAACACCTTAGAAGTATATAGTACCTGTGCAGCCAACAGAGAGTCTTTAGTGATTATCTGCAACGAATATAACAAATACATCAATGAACACAATAATTCAACATATACTACCAAAATCTCCCTTGCAAATTCCCATATAATAATTCAAATGATCCACTTTCTGGTTTTAGCAGTTATTGTGCTACAAGCACTAAACATTGTAAATGAATGAAAATTTGACAGGCCTATTTTCTACCATTGTTTTCGATTGTTGTTCTCACTTTATCTCAAAAGTCAGATATATACATTGAATATAATGGGCTTTGTAATTACATCTCCTATGGAAATTCAAGGGATCGTGGCCGCAGAAACAACAAATCTAACCATAAAGACACACACTACAAAATGACACCATGAAGTAATTAAAAAACAACAAAAAGACTGCAAATTTGATCACATACAGATACAATGAAATTCAACACGAAGCTCAATTTCGACACAACTCAATTCCCAGAAAGGGGTGACAAAAACAAATAATCAGAAGAAAAAAAAAATCCAGAATTCTGAGATACCTTGCATGACGGAGCTCTGGTGCCGTCACAATCCTTGTCGAAATAGAGACCATCGTAATCACTGTCGTCGTCGTTGTAAACTTGATCGCAGTATTCCTCGTCGCTGCTCCCATACACGTCCTCCATTGCAGAATATATGGGAAAACCACGTTGAAAGGAATATTAAAAACGCAGCTTAGGGAGGGTGTCAGTGATCGCGATATCTGTATATATATATATATATGCACCGTAAAAATAAAACACATTCACCAAAAACTCTCCGATTTTTTTACTATATTTCTGAGGTTTTCTGATTTCTCGTTACCGGCGAAGAGCTATATAGTCGCTGAAGCGTTGGCGGCGGGGTAATATAGATTTTTCCGAATTGCATTGGAACTGGGAACGCTTCGTACGAACCTACGAATCCTACTCGAAGCCGCCTCTGCTTTTATTGAATCCTTATATATATAGGTTTTATCTTGTGTATATACAATTAACTTATTATTAGTAATTTAGTAGCATATTTATATAAATTCAATTAATATATTACATGTCTATCATATTATGTACGTATAAAATATAATTTACATATTATGTACTTTTATGTATATAATATACTAATGATAAATACATGACCTAAACTAGTATTCACAGTGCACATAATTTCTAGGACTAAAATAGTAGGATTTTATTATTTTTAATATTGTTGCCTCTGGATTTTTGATAATTTTGGGAAGATCCCTTAATTAATATTTACAATTTGCAAATTAGTGTGGAAATGTCCACTCGTTGAAAAGGAAGTAGTATTTTTTTTTTTTCCTTTTGCGGGAGTTCAAATTATTTTGATTATATACTTACATTAGCAATTTGTTCATTAATTAGTTATTTTAAATTATTACGCTGAAAATAATTATATATTTAAAAAAGAGTCGTATAATATGATATATTATATTATCAAAAGTATAACGCAAAACGCGGTTTCTAATAACAAAAGCCGTGTTTTACGTTATATTTTATGTTCTATACCATGAGAGATGTTGAAGAATGTGAAATGGAAATGGATTCCTATTTTTGGTTACCAAAAATGAAAGATGATCTTTTTCTTGAGAACCGAGAAATGTTGGT